TCAGCTTTTTTTTTTTTTGTACTCTTAGTGAAAAGAGTTGTATAATGACCTTCATGTACTCATTACCCAGCTTTAACAATTACCAATATGTAAAGATTTTAAGCCAGGCAGGAAGGGAGACTAACATTGTGCCATTTCCATTACCTTACTTATTCTTCATAATATCCTGTGCTGAGGTAAGTGAATGTTCTAGGTTTCTAACTCACATCCACCTTTTTCTGAACTCCAGTTTTTTCCCATGCTGCATCATGCTGCCTCTGTAATTCTGAAGTAGAGCAAAACTCCCCCTGAAAACAGCAGTTGATGTGCCTCCTTCCTCAGGATAGTAGACTTCTCTGCCTTCAGCCACTTTGCTTCTACTGCCACCAGGATCTAGGTCTAAAAGACACTCAACTTAATTAGCCATAATGATTGACTAGTTCAGAGGTTCCAACTTACGATCTCTAGAACAGCAGCAAGTTGTTAGAAAATACAAATTATCAGGTGACACCCCCACTACTGAATCAGAAACTCTGGAGGTGAGAGATGATGATCTGTATTGCCATTTGCTATCTTCCTATTTAATAAAAATACTCTAGTGGTTTCCTGCAAATACAAGGTTATGACCACCTACCCTGAGCATTTCTAAGGCAAAAGTATCAGGGGAAGTTATATGTTTTCCTTTTAGCAAATTCATGAAAAGCATGTCCTAAGGCAAGAACTTTTATTCAGACTTAACACTGGGAATCTCTCTGGGGATTTGACATAACTACGTAGAAAGGAATCTTATGGAGTTTGCACTACCTATATTTAAAGTGCTTGATGGTGCCACCTAGTGGTTTAAGCACTATAGAATGTACATGTAGGGTTATTTCTCAAGGCTTCAGGGAGAGAATTTGTATATATATATTTTTTTAAATCAGTTTTATAGTAAAAGTTTAATGAAATAGCCAAACACAAGATGTAGAAAGAATTTCTTTAGTCTAAAACTTCCATTGAGGATTCTAGATATGCCACTAAGACACAAGTAACAAAATTAAAATAGCTAAATTAGACTTCATCAAAATAAAAAACTTTTGCATATTAGACCCTATTTAGAAAGTGAAAAGATAGCTCATGAAATGGGAGAATATATTAGAAACTCATATCCTCCTATATAATAAAAGCCCAAAATGCTAAGTGTCTGGTTAGCCAATCAAAGTGTAATATACTAATGATATGCTAAGTCTGCTCAACTTCTCACTATAATGTGTACTGACTACCAGGGGGCACACAGTCAACTGGTGAAACAGTCACTATTACATGCGCTGACCAGCAGGGGGCAGATGCTCTGACTGGTAAGTTAGCTTGCTGCTGGGGGCAGGCTGGTCAGGACTGAGCAACACTGGCCAGACACGCCCTGAAGCCCTCCCGCAATCCCTCCCTGCTGGCCAACCTCCCATGTCCCTCCCTGCCCCAATTGTGCACCATTGGGGTCCCTCGGCCTGGCTTGCACCCTCTCACAATCTGGGACCTCTGGAGGGGGGGTGTCAGAGAGCTGGTTTTGGCCCGACAGCAGAATGACTTCGCTATGACACACACTGACCACCTGGGGGCAGATGCTCAATGCAGGAGCTGCCTCCTGGTGGTCAGTGCGCTCCCACAGGTGGAACGTCGCTCAGCCAGAAGCCTGGCTCGTGGCTGGCGAGCGCAGCAGCGGTGGTGGAGACAGGGAACGGCCTAAACTATCAGTTAGACATCCTCCAAGGGCTCCTGGACTGCGATAGGGCACAAGCCGGCTGAGGGACTTCTCTTCCCCACCACCACCCCCCCAGTGCATGAATTTCGTGCACTGGGCCTCTAGTATCTAATAAGATTCATGTGTCCAAATATATTAATAGTATTTAAATATTATAAAGAACTTTTACAACTCAACAACAAAAGACCAAACAACCCAATTTAAAAATGAATAAAGGGCTTGAATAGACATTTTTCCAAAGTTGATATACCAATGGCCAGTAAACACATGAAAAGATATTCAACAGTGTTAGTTATTAGAGAAATGCAGATCAAAACGACAATGAATGGCATGAATAATTTTTAAAAATAAGTGTTGAAGAGGATGTGAAGAAATTGGAACTTTTATACATTTCTGAAGGGGTTGTTAAGTGTTACAGCCAAGGTGGAAAACAGTTTAGCAATTCCTGAAATAAACAGAATTACTATAGAACACAGCAGTTTCACTGCTAGGTATATACTCAAGAAAATTAGAAACAAGTGTTCAAACAAAAACTTGTACACAAAAGATTATAGCAGTATTATCGATAATCATCAAAAAGTGGAAACAACCCAAATGTTCACCAACTAATGAATGAATAAATAAAATATGGGCTCCATCTAATGGAATACTACTCAACCATAAAAAGAAGTACATTGATGAACCTTTAGAACATTGTGCTAAGTGACAGAGGCCGGCATAAAAGGCTACATATTATATGAAACTAGAGACCCGGTGCACAAAATTTGTGCATGGGGTCGGGGGTGTCCCTCAGCCAAGCCTGCACCCTCTCCAATCTGGGACCCCTTGAGGGATGTCTGACTGCCCGTTAGGCCCGATCCCAGTAGGATCGATCCCAGTAGGATCAGGCCTAAATGGGCAGTTAGACATCCTCTCACAATCCAGCACTGCTGGCTCTCAACTGCTCACCTACCTGCCTTCCTGATTGCTCCTAACTGCTTCTGCCTGCCAGCCTGATCACCCCCTAACCACTCCCCTGCCAGCCTGATTGATGCCTAACTGCTTCCCTGCAGCCTATTTGCCCCTAATTACCCTCCCCTGCAGGCCTGGTCACCCCTAACTGCCCTCCCCTGCAGGCCTAGTCATCCCTAACTTCCCTCCACTGCAGGTTTGATTGCCCACAACTGCCCTCCCTTGCAGACCTGGTCCCTCCCAACTGCCCTCCCCTGCTGGCCATCTTGTGGTGGCCATCTTGTGTCCACATGGGGCAGTCATCTTTGACCATATTGGGGCAGCCATCTTGTGTGTTGGAGTGATGGTCAATTTGCATATTATTCTTTTTTATTAGATAGGATAGAGGCCTGGTACACGGGTGGGGGCCAGCTGGTTTGTCCTGAAGGGTGTCCTGGATCAGGACATGGGGAGGCCTGGACGAGGGTGGTTTGCAGGCTAGCCATGCCCCCCGGCGACCCAAGCAGAGGCCCTGGTATTTATTTATCTTCTACAATTGAAACTTTGTATCCTTCAGCAGAGCCAAACCTCCTGCTCACTTTGTGGCTGCAGCCATTTTTGTTAGGATTTATTTATCTTCTATAATTGAAATTTTGTAGCCTTAAGTGGAGGCCAAGGCAGGCCAGGGCTTTGGGAGCTTGGCTTCCTCCATCGCTGAGGGCAATTCAAGCCTCTTGCTCTCTCCAGCTCTGTGGCTGCCGCCATTTTTGTTGGGATATATATCTTCTATAATTGAAACTTTATAGCCTTAACCAGAGGCCAAGGCAGGCCAGGGCAAGCGGAAAGCTTGACTTTCTCCACTTCTAGGGAAACCCAAGCCTCCTGCTCTCTCTGTGGCTGCAGCCATCTTGGTTGGGTTAATTTGCATACTTGCTCCTGATTGGCTGGTGGGTGTGGATTGTGGGTGTACCAGAGGTATGGTCAATTTGCATATTACTCTTTTATTAGATAGGATGTTCAGAGTAGGCAAATGAGTAAAGAGGAGTAGATTATTGATTGCCAGAGGCTAGAGGAAAGGACCAATGGGAGTGACCACTTAATGGGTATGGGATATTTTTTTTCTGAGGGGTAGGTGTTGATGCAAATGTCTTGAAATTAAATAGTAGTAATGATTAGACAGTATTGTGAATGTACTAAAAACCACTAAATTTAATTTTAAAATAGTGTATATGGTGACTTATATGGTATGTGTTTTTTACCTCAATTTTTAAGAAAACTTCCATTGATTGGCAAGATTTAATTATTGAATATTTTCCCCATAGTTGTTGCTATATGTATGTATTCTATTTGTTCTTTTTCTTTAACCTAAAATTATTTGATACATACTTTTTCATCTATACAGTTTCCATAGTTTTTATTTTGGTGGCTGTATGTATTTTAGTCATTATATATATCATAGCTTAATCATTTATCATATATTTGGTGGTTTTCTCTCGCTTTCTCTCTCTGTCTCTTTTTTTTTTAGTTTTAAAGAATCCTTTTCTATGCTTAAACAAATATAGACATTGCACTAATGTTTCTTTCCCAAAACAGGAACTGAATCACTTTTTTTTCCTTTTTCTTTTTTTACTATTTCAATTGTCTTCTCTCTGACTGCTCTATAGTAAGAACATGCTAATTTATAATCCTGCCAATAATGGCTGAGGAAAAAAAGAGGAGATGAATGTTTTTGAGTGTCTCTACTCTGTTTTAGGCACTGTGCCTGGATCCTTTCACATTCATTATAACGTTTTTTTAACATGTTTTTATTGATTTCAGAGGAAGAGAGCAGGGGAGAGAGAAAGAAGTATCAATGAGAAGACAGAATCATTGGTTGGCTGCCTCCTGCACACCCCCTACTGGGAATCAAGCCCGCAACCCAGGCGTGTGCCCTGATCAGGAATCGAACTGTGACATGGTTCATAGGTCTATGCTCAACAACTGAGCCGTTCATTCAGGCTCGTATCCATAATTTCATTCAACTCCCACACCTCTTCCCACTAAAGTGGCAACAGAAGTTGACACAGCTAATGACAAATGAGCAAAAGTCAGAACCCAAGCATTTTGTCCTTAAATTTTATCCTTTTCCCATGGCTTTACCAATATTGGATTTTACCTTTTGAGTTTCTACTTGTTAGAGAGATTCAACATTTTCCCAAATGATTGTTCACTTACATTTATTCTTACATAATAATCTGTATCTTTTGTTCATTTACTATTAATAGATTTTAATCTGAACTTACCTTATAGACAGTAAACATTATGTGTCAAAGCTTCATCATAATTTTTGTTTTTGTTTATTCCTATTTTACAGGCTCTTGATGGAAATGTGTATGATCACCTGAAGGATTACTTAATCGCCTTTAGCCGGACTGAGCTAGAAGCATGTCAAGCTGTGCAGAACACATTCCAGTTTTTATTAGAAACCTCTAGCAAGGTAAGTTACCTTTAGTGCAATATGTGATGTTATCCATATTAGAATCTAAAATGTTTTTTACATACAAACTAAATGAAGGAACCAATGACATTTGAAGAATGCTTTAAAGACAAATTACCTGGAAACAGTATTCCTTCAAATAAAGTTGAAGGGTATTTTATTCTCCTTGAAGAGTTGACACAAAGGTCAAAAGGGGATGTGATTATATGGTCTAGCTCAAGACATCAGCCCATTGCCATGTGCATAGCTTTTGAGAAGAATGGTTTAAAAAGATTTATCTTCCACTCAAATATTGAATGCACTCAATTCATTCATATGAGGAAACAAGGTCATGTGTCAGCACAAAGAATAATAAAGGGGCACTAAAAGGGAAAAACATCTTACACAGGGCAGCCAATTGATGTTCTCTCTGTCTCTCTTGTGCTCTCTTTCTCATCTTCCTCCTTTCCCCCTATTAGAGAGGGGAAGGAGGGAGTCCAGAAGAGAGGGGGAAACTTCTGGACTCCCTCCTTCCCCTCTCTAATCAGTTTAAAAAATAAAATTTGCAGAGAAGAAACATCTATCGGCCCCCTTTCCGCACTGAACCAGCAACCTGGGTATATGCTCTGACCAGAAATTGAACCAGGGCATACAGGACAACACTTCAACTAACTGAGCCACACCAGCTAGGGCACGGTCATTCTTTTATTATCTTTCCATTCAAAAGGAATGAGATCCCTCAGCTTTGCTGGCATGTCACCTTGTGTACAGAGAAAATAAATGAAATTGCTTTTCTTTATGATCTGACAGGTTAAAATTTTTTGCAGAAGAGAAACAGTCCTTTGGAAGATAAATTTTTCTTGTGACTAGTAAATGTTTCCTTCTGATAAATGAAGTGCATAGTAAATGTTTTCTAATTGAATGTGTGCCTTTGTCAAAAGATACTCACTTTATAACTGCTATTTTAAGAGACAGGTCAGTCATAGCTGGGTTGTTCTATTGGTTAGAACATTACCTGATCCTCCAGTGTTGTGATTTTGAACTCTGGTCAGGACACTTACAAGAATCAACCAATGCATGCATAAATAGGTGGAACAACAGACTGATATTTCTCTCTCTCTTAATTTCAAAAATCAACAAATTTTAATAAAGATAAATAAAAGCCAGTTCAGTTCTCTTTTTTAGAAAGGAGAGTGGGAATTGGCTAATACCACAAGAAATTGTTTGGAAATGTCCAGTGATAGGATAAAAGAGGGCCTCAGATTCTTCTTCTTGAACACATTCTTTTGTATTATTCTTGTTTTCCATGTACTATTTCTTTAATTCTGTTCTAAGAAAAACATTTAAAATGTTAAGTTGATATGGAACTGTAATGATTACTAGTCTATTGCTTTGAAATCCTATCATATTTCTATTTTCCTATATTTTCCCTCCCCAGGACCCAATCCATACTAACAAAAGATGCAAATTGACCATACTTTTGTGACACTCACCAGCCAATCAGGAGTGGGTATGCAAATTAACCCACCCAAGATGATGGGTTAATTTGCATATGCAGGCCAGGGCGGCCAGGGGTGGGATGTGACACAGGCATTCCTTACCACTCCAGCCGCTCCAGGACTCTGGGCCTCTGGGCAGCGTGGGAAAGCAGAAAGGCTGCTCCGGCCAGAGCGAAGGCGGCACCAGCAGTCAGGGAAAGGAAGGTCCGTTCTTGCATCAATCTTTGTGCATTGGGCCTCTAATAAAATATATAGAAGACTGACATATAGAAAGAAGAATAGATGGATCGGTAGATGCTTATGTGAAAGCAAATGTGGAAAGTGTTCATTGAAAAAATCTAGGTAGTATGTACATGGATGTTTTAGTACAATTCTTTTTATTTTAATGTGTGTATATTTGAAATTTTACATAAGAAAATATTTTTTAAAATCTATTAAAACATATTGGCTTTGTTTCTTTTTGTGGAGTGGTTAATTTTGACTAGTGATCAAATTGTTTATATTTATTGGTACACTCAGGTTTTCTGTACGGGTTTTTTTGGTACATTTTGGTAAATTATACTTTCCTAGATAATTATCCATTTCGTTTATCAAATTTGAGGCCATAAGTTTGTATATAAACTTGTTTTCTTCTACAATTGTCTTCTTTTTTGTTTTTAATATTGTTTTCATTCTCTTTTATTTTGTTTTCATTCTCTCTTATCTTGATAAGGCTTAACAGTCTTTTTAATTACTTTCAAGGGTCTGCTTTTGTTCTGCTTCTTGTTGTTGTTTTTTGTGTCCTTAATTTCTGCCTCTATGTTCATTAATTCTTTCTACTTTATTAGAGTTTATGGTCTTATCATTTTTAAGGCTTATTTTTATATTAAGGTTTTATATTTTCAGCCTTGTTTTGAAGTAAACCCACATAAGGCTAAAAATTTTCTCTTCCTACTTTAATTACGTTCTATAATATATAGGGCTCTTTGGTTCTTTTTTTATATTTTATTTTTCAATCACAGTTTACATTCAATTTTGTATTAGTTTGAGGTGTGTAGCATAGTGGTTAGACAATCATACTCTTTACAAAGTGTGTCCCCAGTATTTCCAGTATCCAGCTGGCATCACACTTAGTTATTACAATATTATTAACTATATTTCTTATACTGTACTTTACATCCCCGTGACTTTTTTTTTTTAAATATATTTTATTGATTTCTTACAGAGAGGAAGGGAAGAGGGATAGAGCGAGAAACATTGATGAGAGGAGAGAGAAACATCGATCAGCTGCTTCCTGCACACCCCCCACTGGGGATGTGCCTGCACCCAAGTTACATGCCCTTGACCAGAATCGAACCTGGGACCTTTCAGTCCACAGGCCAACGCTCTATCCGCTGAGCCAAACTGGTTTCGGCCCCGTGACTTTTGTAACTACCAATTTGTACTTTTTTTTTTTTTTTTTTTTCTTTTACCAGCCCTGCAACCCTGTTATGTGTTCCCTACCCCCACCCCCATTTACCTAGGAGTTACTTAGAAGTGAATTTTTCCAGTTTCCATTCAGTGAGCATGTAGTGGGATAAATTATTTATTTCTAATTTTATTAGAAATCATATCTTATTTTTATTTTATTACATTTATTCTAAATTTATCTGAGAGATTGTCCTCTGAGCAAATTCATTAAAACCTTTTTTTCAAAAATAAGTTAGGTTAGATACACTACCTTAGTTTATAAAACAGGAAAATGTATAGTCTTAAAAAACAGCTAATAGTTTACATAGCACTTAACCGTGATGTAGCTTTTAGCACATCCTCTGAAATGGGCATTATCGTGCTCATTTTATAAAGAAGAAAACAGACTCAGGAAGTTTACATGGCTTGCCTCTGGTCACACACTCACACACAGTATTTTTCCATGCTCTACTACTATCCTATTTGCTATCTTTTGCTTATATTATTTTCATAGAAAATGAATTAAAAATGTATAACCTGATTTGGACATAAAGAGATCAACTTTTATTTTCCTCTACATTTGTTTATATGAGCATCTTGCTCCCCAGGTATAAGAAATAAATGAGATGCTCTTATATTTAAATTGAAAATAGTAGTAATAAAAATTTAATAAGAACGATGTAGCTAGGAGATATGCCCTTTTGTTCCAAGTGCCAGAAGAGCTCACACCCATTCCATGTACTTTTCTGTTACAAAGAGCCATTGTGCTGCTGATAATCCAAAAAGAATTTTGAAACCCTTTAGGTTTTTATTCTACATCATTATTCCTTTGTCGTTTGAGGAGGAAATCCCTTTCCCCCCCACATATCTAAATTGTAGCTGTATACATTCTGAAAGATATTTCGGGGGTTATTCATAGTGACACACTGTACACGTTGTGGCACTCTATATCTTTCATCTCCGAAAGGGAAACAGCTAGCCCTAGGAGCTTGTGTTTAATTTTAATTATTTATGAAGCTTGCTTTTCTCCTTAATATTTTATGAAACCCTTTGTATATGTAACTAAAGCAGATGTTGTCATAGATACTTTTTCTAGAATAGTAACCTCTAAAGACAGTTCTGCTGGCCTTTCTTGTTTGTTTACGTATGCTCGCTTTCTGTCTACCTAAGGAAACTCCTTCAGGAAACTAATTAATAATGTAGCTCTTTTAACAATTCAGAAAATAACAATGTTATTCTATATTTCTTTTAAAATTAAATTGTCTAATATTGCCATTCTTAATATCTTAAAAACGCGCCAAAAAAAAGTAAACCTAATAAAAGGAAGGGGGGAAACTACATGATCATTTCAAAAGGCATAGAAATGCCCTAGCCAGTTTGCTAAGTGGTTAGAGCATCAGCTCTCTGATTGAAGGGGCTGGGCTCAGGTTCGATTTTGGTCAAGGGCACATATCTCGGTTGCAGGCTGGATCCCCAGCCTTGGTTAGGGCGTGTGTGGGAGGCAACCAATCAATGTGTCTCTCTCACATCAGTGTTTCTCTGTCTCTCTCTTCCACTCTCTGTAAAAAAATCAACAGAAAAAATATCCTGAGGTGAGGATTATCAACAATAAAAAAAGACAGGAAATTTTGACAAAATTCGACTTTTATGATTAAAAAAAAAACAACTCAGTAAATTAGGAGTAAAAGGAAACTTCCTTAACATGATAAAGGGCATTTAGAAAGAACCCACAGCCAATATCATACTCATTGGTGAAAGATGGAAAGCTTTCCTGCTAATATCAGGAACAAGACAATGGATGCCCACTTTCACTATTGCTGTTCACCGTCGTACTGGGGATATTAGAACACTTGGGCAAGCAAAAGAAATTGAAGGCATCCTGATTGAAAAGGAAGAAGTACAATTATCTGTTTGTAGGTGAAATGATTTATATAGAAAATCCTACAGAACCCACTAAAAAAGTATTAGAACTGATAAATGAATTCAGCAGAAGTTGCAGGTACAAGATCAAAACACAAAAATCAGTTGAGTTTCTATACTCCATTAATGAATGAACCAAAAGAAAATTAAGAAAACAATTTCAGCTATAATCATATCTGGAAAATAAAATACCTAGAAATAGATTTAACCAAGAGCATGAAAGACTTGTACATTGCAAATTACCAAATATTGCCGAAATTAATTAAAGAATATCTAAATAAATAGAAATAATGAATGTTATGGATTAGATTTTATATCACTAATATTGCAGTATTCCGCAAAGTGATCTACAGGTTCAATAATACAATTCCTATCAAAATTCCAATGGTCTTTTTGGGGGGCAGTATTTAAAGACTCACTGCAAAGTTATGAATCAGGATAGTGTGGTACTGGCATAAGGATAGACATACAGACCAATGAAATAGAATTGAGAGTCCAGAAATAAACCACTACAGTTATGGCAGTTGATTTTTGATAAGGTTCCAAGGCCATTTGATGAAGAAAGAATAACCTCTTCAACTAAGGTGCTGGGACAACGAAACAACCACATGCAAAAGAATTAAATGGAAAGCCCACCTCCATATACAAAAACAAACTCAAAGTAGATCTGTGACCTTAACTCTAAAACCACAGAATAGCCGAAACCGGTTTGGCTCAGCGGTAGAGCGTCGGTCTGCGGACTGAAAGGTCCCAGGTTCGATTCCAGCCAAGGGCATGTTGCGAGCACATCCCTGGTAGAGGGTGTGCAATGTACATTGGTTGCAGGCACATCCCCGGTAGGGGGTGTGTAAGAGGCAGCTGGTCGATGTTTCTCTCTCATCGATGTTTCTAGCTCTCTATCTCTCTCCCTTCCTCTCTGTAAGAAAATCAATAAAATATAAAATATTAAATAAATAAATAAATAAATAAAGCCACAGAATAAAACAGGTAAATCTGTAGAACCTTGGATTTGACATTGTGTTCTTAGATTTGACATCAAACCTCGAACAAAAGGAAAAAAAATAGATAATTGGACTTCATTAGCTGTTGGGCATTCAAGAAAGACAAACGAACCAATTTTAAAATGGGCAAAGGACTTGAATAGACATTTCTCCAAAGAATATATCCAATGGACAATAAGCTGATACTTGACATTTTAGAAAAATGCAAATCAAAACCACAATGAAATACCACTTTCCACCTACTAGGATGGCTTTAATAATTAAAATAAAAACACCAAATACACTCAGAAAATAACAATTACTGCCAATGGTGTGGAGAAATTAGAACCCTCTGCATTGTAGTAAATGTGAAATGGTGCAGACACTATGGAAAACAGTTTGGCAGTTCCTCAAAAGAGTGCAACAGTTACCATATGACTTGGAACTTCCACTTCAACAAAATTGAAAACAAGTGTTCAAATAAAAATGTGTGCATTAGTGTTCACATCTGCATTATTCATACTAGCCAATAAGTGGAAACAACCCAACTACTCATCAACTGATGATTAGATAAATAAAATATGATATATCTATACAATGGAATACTATTGTGCATAAAAAGGAGTGAGCTACTGCTACGTCATATAACGTGCATTCCACATAATAAAAAATATAAATAGCTATTATCCTATATAACAAAAGGCTAAAGTGCAAATCAACCTAATGGCAGAATGACCAATCGCAATGGCACACGCTGACCACCAGGGGGCAGACACTCAATGCAGGAGCTGCCACCTAGTGGTCAGTTGGCTCCCACAGGGGGAGCGCCGCTCAGCCAGAAGCTGGGCTCACGGCTGGCAAGTGCAGCAGCGGTGGCGGGAGCCTCTTCCACCTCCTTGGCAGTGCTAAGGATGTCTGACTGATGGACATCCTCCGAGGGCTCCCCGACTGCAAGAGGGCACAGGCTAGGCTGAGGGACACCCCAAGTGCACAAATTTTGGGGGGTTTCTATTCATATAATAAGATGTTGTTATGAGCTGAATTGTGTCCCCTTAAAATTCATATGTTGCAGTCCTGATGCCTATTACCTCAGAACTTGACTGTGTTTGGAGCTAGGGCCTTTAAGAGGTTGTTAAGGTAAAATGAGGTCATGTGAGTGGGCTCTAATCCAACATGACTGGAGATGGTGTCCTTATAAGAGTAGATTAGGAGATAAACAGGCAGAAAACGATGGCCATCTGCAACAAGCAGAGAGACCCTCGGTAGGAATCAGCCCTGAAAACACCTTGATCTTGGACTTGTAGCCTCCGAACTGTGAGGAAATAAATTTCTGTTGTTTAAGCCACCAGTGATACTTCATTATGGCAGCCCTCACAAACTAAAAAAGATGCTTACCCTCATCATTAATCAAATAAATGGAAATTAAAACTGCGAGATTCTCTTTTATACCAATGAGATTGACAAAAGTTAGGATAGGCAGGTATTAGTATTATTGTCTACTGTCAATATCTGGGCTAGTTTCTAAACTAGTACTTTCTAAATTTAGATTCTTGAGAAAATAGGACAGTTAAGGAATAACTTACCTGAAATGGAAAGAAAAAAAAAGTTTAACTATCATTTCTTTTTGACCATGTAGTGTTGGATTTCTTATTTCTTGAAAATCCAGCAGAATAAATCTTAAACTTTAAAATGTAATTACTGGTCATTTTAATCTTGTTAAAGACTTAAAGGTATTTTATTTTCTCTGTAGGTGGTACGGGACTATAATTTTCAGCTGTTTCTACAAGAGAATGCTGTTTTTCACAAACCCCAGCCCTTCCAGTTCCAGCCTTGTGACAGCGATACTGTAAGGAAATTCCAGATTTTCATCTCATTCGTTTTTAAGCTATGTTTATGCTCAAGTAACTGTTATCCTTGGAAAATACAGACAGAAAAGGTTGAATATGTCTCAATTTTATAACAAACTGTGAGGATGCAGAGAAACTGTGACATTTCTTCTTTATCAAATGTGACTAACACACCTAGTACTATCCTAACAACTTTCTACAAAATTGGATTAAATTATAAGACGAGTTATTGCTGAAAAATGAACTTGGGGAAGAATAAAAAATAGTCAATAAAGGGAGGGTTTTTTTTTTTCAATTGAAATATAAATTGTATTTTCTACCCATGAAATTCTTCGCATATATATTCTTTCATAGACTCCAGTGGTCAAATTTTAACCAGAATTGAATTAATAAATAGAATAATGAATATGTGCATACAAATATTTTATTGGTTTTGGACTAAATTATAGGCTCTTTATAATGTCTTTCAGAATTCTTCCCACTCTAAAATTTCGCTTCTTTTTGTATTAAAATTTTCTTTGGGTAATTCATAGTTGAAAAAAAAATGTTTTCTTAATTATTTTAATAAAGATTTTCTCATGAGTTCTGAATAGTTTAGGGAAAGTTAAAATAGTTTAGTGGTTCAGAATGCTGAGACTGGAACCATATTTGTATAATCAGAGTTGTAACATTTAATATCTGGTAGACACTGGAAATTTTACTTACTCTCTCTGAGCTTTGGCTTATGACCCATCTCATTAGGTTGTTATAAAAGTACAGGATGGCCTGGCCAATGTGTTATTCAGTGGTTGAGCATCAACCTATGAACCAGAAGGTCATGGCTCATTTCTCGGTCAAGGCACATATACATGTTGTGGGCCTTATTACCAGTAGACGGCATGCAGGAAGCAGCCAGTGAGTGATTCTCTCTCAACAATAATGTTTCCATCTCTCTCTCCCTTCCTCTCTGAAATCAATAAAAATATATTTTATAAAAATAAATAAAAAAACAGGGTGGAGTAAAAGTAGGTTTACAGAGTAAAATCTGTGTTTTGCATACTCACGATTGTAAACCTACTTTTTTTTTTTTTTTTTTTTTTTTTGTAAACCTACTTTTATCCAAACCTTATATGAAATGCTTCCCATAGTGCCTTGAATAGTAGGAGTTAACTATTACTATTGTTTATTTAGATTTTGCAGTTGGTTCTTTGTCAAACATAATCACAGCATTTTAAGACTAGAAGAAACCTTAGTGATCATTTGATTTAGCACCACTAACTTTCATATGGCACTAAAGTCCAGAGGAAGGGTAAAAGCTAGTTTGAGTTTTGGTGTAACTTGGTAATGGACCGGAAACTAAATTAAACCCAGTATCGTTCGGGGACAGAGAGTTTGTGATGTTATTATTGTTTCTTTTCACTTTTTCCAATAAACCTTTCTATAATCCCATTAAAATTATTAAGCTGTTTCTATTTTCATCTGTGCAACTATTTTAGTGCCATAGTAGATTGGCATGAATACTTTCCTGTCCTTTGCTTTGCCAGCTTTCTTCACATCCCAAATGGATCAATCCGTAGTATTAGAGATTAAGCTTTAATGTTCAGCAATGTCATACAAAATACTGTGGTCATTTATGGTTTCATACTTTCCTCTTAGTCTTCTGTTAATGTTTATAGTAATGGATCATGGCTCCGGTTTTGAGTGCTACTGATTAAGTGAAGGCCCTTAGATCTACTACAAAATGGTTGTGATTTCAATAAGAATAATAGTATTTTTTTTTTCCTGTTCTCTCTCTTGTGTTGTAGAGCCGAAAATTAGAATCAGAAACTGGCACCACAGAGGAGCACAGTCTGAACAAGGAGGCTCGGAAATGGGCCACACGTGTGGCACGTGAGCACAAGAACATTGTTCACCAACAGCGAGTAAGTGTAATAGAGCTTAGGCTACATTTAGATTAAGCCAAATGTCTAACCAATTTAGATGAGATCGGGCGCATTCAGGGTGGTATGGCCGTAGACTGTCTAGCCAATTTAAAGAGTTGAGTTTTATTAAGGTGAGAAATATCCTGTACCTATTTCATAATTTGGTGTGTGTTTTTTTAATCCTCACCTGAGAATATTTTTCCATTGATTTTTAGAGAGAGAGGGAAAGACAGACAAAATATCAATGTGAGAGAAACACATCAATTGGTTGCCTCCTGTATGCATCCTAAGCATGGCCCAGGCCAGGGAGGAGCCTGCAACCAAGGTAGGTGCCCTTGACCAAAACCGAACTTGGGATCCTTTGGTCCACAGTCGACACTCTATCCACTGAGCAAAACCAGCTTGGGCTTAATTTAATTTGGCTTCTCATCTCCAAGCAAATTTTTTGAAGGCACAATTGTAGATTCCATGAAAATGTATTAAGACTGAACTAAAAGCGCCAAGAAATTAATATTTGATATAGTAAATTTTCCTCAATTTCCATTTATTTATATCTTCATTATTCTCTTAACCTTCATATCCAGTTTTCCTTTCTATCCCTTCTTACCAAAGACTACACTTGTGAAAATCACCAATGATGTCTGTTCTGCTAAAACCAAAATGGACACTTTGATTTCTATCTTAACCTATTGTCATCTTCGTCACAATTGACAACACCCTTCCTCTTGAAACATTCTCTTCCCTAGTCATCTATGGCATTACTGCCTGGTTTTCCTTCTGCCATTCCTGGATTCTCTTACAGGTTTTTTCTCTACCTCACACTTAAATATTCAAATTCCTTAGATTCTGTACATAGGCTTTCTTCTTTTCTTCTTTTTTATTTCATTATGGGCAGTCTTGATCTCTTCCATGGTTTCACTTACCAACAAATGATATGTTAATATCTTCATTATTAGGCTTTTCTTCTGTGTATCTTACACTGTATACAATAATAAACTCAAAATGAATTCATTATTTAAATGTAATACTCAACTCATAAAACTTCTAGAAAAAAAAATAGGCAGTAAACTCTGAGCAATATTTTTTCTGATATTTCTTCTTGGACAAGTTAATCTAAGAAAAAAAATAAACAAATGGTACTACGTGAAACTAAAAACATTTTGCACAGCAAAGGAAACAGTAAGACAAAAAACAACTTACTAAATGGGAGAATTTATTCACCAACTGATACACCCAATAAGGTATTCATATCCAAAATTTATAAATAATTCATACAACTCAACACCAAAAAAACAAATGATCCAATCAGAATATGGCAAAGGATATGAATTAACACTTTTCCAAAGAGATATTCAATAGACATATGAAAAGATGCTCAATGTCACTAATCATAAGAGAAATACAAATTAAAACCACAATGAGCCAAAACCGGTTTGGCTCAGTGGTAGAGCGTTGGTCTGCGGACTGGAAGGTCCCAGGTTTGATTCTGGTCAAGGGCCTGTACATTGGTTGCAGGCACATCCCCGGTAGGGGGTGTGCAAGAGGCAGCTGGTCGGTGCTTCTCTCTTATCGACGTTTCTAGCTCTCTATCTCTCTGCCTTCCTCTCTGTAAAAAATCAATAAAATATATTTTTTTTAAAAAACCACAATGAAATATCACCTCATCAATAAATCAACAAATAGACAAATGCTGAAGAAATTTTAATAAAAAAGGAATCCGGTTGTGTTTTAAGCACATGACTAATTAGGGTGCAAACATGATTCAACATAAGATAATTTAGCAATATAATAGCCTGTATTTATAGAGTAAAGATGAAAATTCTATGATTATTTTCTTAGTTGCCCAAAAAAGCATCTGATAAAATTCAGTATCCCTTAGTCCAATGGTCGCAAACTGCAGCTCTTGCACATGTGACTCTTTGGCCCCTTGAGTTTTTAGCAAAGGCCAGCTTAGAGGAGTAACCTAGTTAAGTTAATTACAATGTAACTACCTATATAGTTTAATTCTAAAAAATTTGGCTCTCAAAAGAAATTTCAATCGTTATACTGTTGATATTTGGCTCTGTAGACTAATGAATTTGCCTACCACTGGGTTAGGGCACCTCACTGAACTCCTATTAGTTCTAATAGTTTGACAGTTGGGTCTCATACTTTTATATGTACATATCACATAATCTATAAATAATGACAGATGTACCTTTTCCTAAAATATAAACACCTTATTTTTCATTTATTAACCACTGCCTAAATTCTCTTATGAAACTGAAAAGTAGTGGTAATGATGGGTACTGTAATTATCATTGTAGCGGACACAAAGGTTTCCAAAGATGTCTACACCCTAGTCCCTGGAACTATGTATATGAAAGATAATTCACAGATATATTAGAGTTCTAGGCCTTAAAATAGGGAGGTTATTCTGGATTATCTGAGCGAGCTCAATCTAATCACATGACTCCTTACGAGCAGAAAGCTTTCTTTGGCTGTAGTGAGATGAGCCAGAAGGGAAGTCAGTGAGATTCTAAGCCCATGCACCAGGACCAGAGAGACTGGCCTAAGTCTAGGACTTAGGAGCTAAATGTAGCCCCCAGCTGAGAGCCAGGGAGGAAACAGGCACTTCAGTTTCAGTTATAAGGAAATGGGTTTTGACAACAAATTGCATGAACTTAAACTATATAGTAGGTACATTGTTATTAACTTAATTAGGGTACTCCTAAGCTGGCCTTTGCTAAAAACTCAAGGGGCCAAAGAGCCTCATGTGCCTCAAGAGCTGCAGTTTGCCGACCATTGCCCTAGCCGGTTTGGCTCAGTAGATAGAGCTCCGGCCTGCAGACTGAAGGGTCCCATGCAAAAGAATGAAACTGCTTGTCCCCATATACAAAAATTAACTCAAAATGGATCAAAGACTTGAAATAATAAATTAAATAGAAATAATAAATTAAATAGAATAAAACATGGGTACTAAACTTTTAGACCTTAGTTTTAGGGAAGATTTATGAATTTGACCTCAAAGGCAAGGACTAACGAAAGGAAAAATATATGAACGGGACTATATCAAACTAAAAAGCTTTTGCACAGCGAGAGAAACTGCCAACAAAACAGAAAGGCAATCAACTGAATGGGAGAAGATATTTGCAAATAAAAGATATTTTTTAAATAAATCTTTATTGCCCAGATTATTACAGTTGTTCCTCTTTTTTGCCCCCCATAGTTCCCCTCCACCCAGTTCCCACCCCACCCTCTGCCCTTACCCCTCCCCCACTGTCTTCATCCATAGGTGTGCGATTTTTGTCCAGTCTCTTCCCGCACTCCCCACACTCCTTTCCCCCTGAAAGTTGTCAGTCCACTCCCTTTCTATGCCCCTGATTCTATTCTATTCACCAGTTTATTCTGTACACCAGATTTTTAATTCACTTGAGTTTTAGATTCACTTGTTGATAGATATGTATTTGTTCTTAATTTTTATCTTTACCTTTTCCTTCTTCTTCCTCTTCTTAAAGAATACCTTTCAGCATTTCATATAATACTGATTTGGCAGTGATGAACTCCTTTAGCTTTTTCTTATCTGTGAAGCTCTTTATCTGACCTTCAATTCTGAATGATAGCTTTGCTGAGTAGAGTAATCTTGGTTGTAGGTTCTTGCTATTCATCATTTTGAATATTTATTGCCACTCCCGTTGACCTGCAGTTTCTGTTGAGAAATCAGCTAACAACCAAATGGGTGCTCCCTTATAGGTAATTAACTGTTTTTCTCTTGCTGCTTTTAATACTCTCTCTTTGTCTTTTGCCCTTGGCATTTTAATTATGATGTGTCTTGGTGTGGTCCTCTTTGGATTCCTCTTGTTTGGGGTTTTCTGCACTTCCTGGATTTGTAAGTCGATTTCTTTCACCAGGTAGAGGAAGTTTTCTGTCATTATTTCTTCAAATAGGTTTTCAATATCTTGCTCTCTCTCTTCTTCTGGGACCCCCATAATTCGGATGTTGGTACACTTGAAATTGTCCCAAAGGTTCCTTACACTATTTTCATATTTTTGGATTCTTTTTTCTTTTTTGCTTTTCTGTCTGGGTGTTTTTTGCTTCTTTGTATTTCAAATCTTTGACTTGGTTCTTTGCGATATTCTAGTCTGCTGTTGGATCTCTGTATATTATTCTTTATTTCAGTCAGTGTATGCTTAATTTCTAGTTGGTCCTTTTTCATATCCTCAAGGGTCTCGCAAAATTTATTGGGGGTTTCTAGAAAATTCTTTAAAATGCTTATAACTGTGGTTTTGAACTCTATATCCAGTAGTTTGCTTTCCCCCATTTCTGTCATTTGTGACCTGTTTCTTTGTCTTCGCATTTTGGCTGCTTCCCTGTGTTGATAGAGTGGTTTTGTGTGCTAGGTGTCCTATAGGGCCCAGTGGCTCAGCCTCCCCAGTTACCTGAGGTGGACACTCTTGGTGCACCCCTTTGTGGGCTGTGTGCACAGCCTTGTTGTAGTTAAGCCTTGACTGTTGTTAGTATCACTGGGAGGAATTGACTTCCGGGCCAATTGGCTGTATCAGCTATCTACGCTCAGAGAACTTCTGTGCTGTAAACACCCTTATGGGGCAAGACTTGCTTCAGTGGAGCTTTGGTGCTCACTGAGTCTGCACCCTGAGTGTGTCCCTTATGGATCTGAGAAGTTATAATCTGGATGGTCCCACTCTGACCACTGAGTACACTGGCTCTTGGATCTCTAAAGAGGTGCTAATTTAGCTTCTGCCTGAGGCCACCCAGCAGGAGCTATGGAGAGATCTGCAGATTCCTCTTCTTTGTTTGGGGTTTGGAGATGCCCAGATGAGGCCCAGCTGTGAAGCAATGCAAGCTGCTGTGGGACCTTGGCCCTTCTTTTGGATGTTCTGGGTCTCTCTGACCCAGCTGCAGTTCTTTAGGTAATTTTATATTGCAAAGGGCCAGGCCATTCATATGCAAAAGCCTCTGTGCATAGCTTGGGTGGGATGGGGTCTCAGGGAATTAACAGGGCAGAGCAAACAGCTATGGCTGATCCTCAGCCCTGCCTTAAGAGGCCCTCGGGTCTCAGTGTCCCCCGATAATCACTGCAAGCACCTCTAAGAGAAATCCACCCTCGAGTTCCACGCACTGCCGATCAGTCCAGTTTCTCCCGTATGATTCTGGGTCCCCAGAGTCTCACCAGGTACTGGAGTTTAGAGCAGTCGGGAGCTTGTGTCTCCTTCCCGCCTGAACAAGACAACCACGTACTCAGTCGCAAGCCCTTTCCATGCGTGTGCCTCCGTACCTCTGCACTTTACTTCCACACTCCTCTGGCTCTTAGTGTGCTTTTCTTTTTCCTTCTAGTTGTAGAATTTCCACTCAGCCAGCTTTTCTGTGGTTCTGGATGATGTCTGTTTTGTCTTTTATTTGTACTTTTGAAGTGGTTGTGCAAGGCAGCAATTTCAGGTGTTTTCCTATGCCACCATCTTGGTTTCTCCATAAAAGATATTTTTAAAGAAACTTGGAAAAAATGGTTCTGAAATGTATCTGGATTATTTTAATGTACAAAATAGCCAATAACAACATTAATGAGACTTGTGGGCCTAACTTAGCACATACTAACATACTCCAGTAATGACCATAGTAATTAAAACATCATTCAAGAGTTTAAAAAAATATATCAAAGGAAATGATGTGTGTGTGTGTGTGTGTGTGTGTGTACCTTTAGATACTGATTTGAACCAACCAATTGTAAATAGTCATATTGAAGCAAGCAGGAAAATTTAATGAACAGCATATTGAGCCTACCAAGGAAATATTACTTTTGAAATAATATTGTCAGTATATATATATATACTGACAACTAATATATATATACTGACAATATTATTTCAAATATATATATATTTTATATATATAAATATATATATAAATATATATAAATATATATATAAATATATATATATATATTTTTTTTTGTCTTAAAGTTCATACTTTTAGAGACTTACCAAAAAAGCCTGTAAGAGTGAAATGATATGATATCTGCAATTTTATTTAAAATGCTTTAGTAAAGAAAAAAAGAATTGATAAAACTAACATGGAAAAATATTCTTAACTATTGAATGATGATCAGTATATATACTAGTCTCTCTACTTTTGAGTATTTTTAAAATTTTTGTAATAAAAAACATGTTAATGATATTTCAAAGCTTTGGAGAAAGGGTTATTTAGTAAGTTGTGTTAGAGTAATTGTCTGTGTATTTGGGGGGGGGGGTGGTGTTTAAAGTCTTCTTTTCCACCAAATACAATATAAATTTTGGAAAAATTAAAGACCTAAGTGCTAAACAAAAGATTATTGAAAACTGGAAAAATATAGAAATTTTTTGTATAGTACAAATAGCTTCTTAAGCAAGACAGAAAACCCAGGACCCATAAAGGAAAAGATTAATAACTCAACAACATAAAAACTAAAAATTTTTGTAAAACAAAAGAACTTTGAAAAGTTAAAAGAAAGGGAATAGGAGGAAATATTTGTAACATAAATAACAAAAGAGAGACTGACACCTTGAAAGAAATATATTTAAATAATGATAAAAACCAGAAAAATGTGTAGAGGATATGAACTTCATAAAAGTAGAAATAATAGATGGCTATAAATATCTGAGATGATGATCTCTATTCAGAGAAATGAAAATTTATATAACTTAAGATCTTTATTTATATAACTTATGGGCAAACATTTCAAAAATTGACCATATTCATTGTTGGTGAGATATAAGGAACATGATATCACATACTACTTGTAAAAGAGTAGGCAATTTGGTAATGTCTGTTAATATTAAGGTATACAATTTTCACCTCTGTTTTTATCTTAAATAAATATTCCGGTACTTTCTCTATAGCGTCATATAAAATTTCTATCGCCTATACTTTAGTTATTTGTAAATGTTTTGTTTTAATTTTTATAATAATATTATTATGGGGTTTAGGTTGTGAGCTATATTATGTATTTAAGAAGTCTTTGACCAGGTTGTTTGTACATTGACTAAGTTATTTGTATAGTACTATTTATAGTATTGAGAAATTTGCCAATTTAAATCACAATAGAGTAAGAGCATGGTACAATTAAAGTGTTGAATCTATGGATTAAAGAAGGAAGTCTATTTTTAAAAACATAAAAAGGTTTCTTAGACACATTGAGAGGATAATAGAGCTCATTTAATTTTTTTTAAAAACAAACTATTCAAGTATATAGGCAATACATAGAAAATGGTTTGAAAAAATACATTTAGCCGAAACCGGTTTGGCTCAGTGGTAGGGCGTCAGCCTGCGGACTGAAAGGTCCCAGGTTTGATTCTGGTCAAGGGCATGTACATTGGTTGCGGGCACACCCCCGGTAGCGGGTGTGCAAGAGGCAGCTGGTTGATGTTTCTCTCTCTCATCAACGTTTCTAGCTCTCTATCTCTCTCCCTTCCTCTCTGTAAAATATCAATAAAATATATTAATAAAAAAAAGAAAAAATACATTTAAATTGATAATTGATGTGACAGTGGTTATCTTGGGGAGTCGGATACATGGTGAGGTATGCAGGTATAACAGTTTTTGCCATTTTTTATTAGTTGTTTAGCAACAATACTTTATATTTGTGTAGTTTTTTATAATCAAAGGTCTGCATATCAAATTGTGTAGTTCAAATAAGGTTTATAGATTGTACCAATGTGAATTTCCTGGTTTTTATATTATACTGTACTTATGCAAGTTGTTGCCATTTTAGGAGGTTGGGAGGTACTCTCTGTTCTACTTTTGCAGCTTCTTTGGGGTCTATAATTCTTTCATTTTTTTTAAAAATTAACAAATAAAAACTGAAAAAATTAAAGGTTAAAAAAAGATAGTCATTGCCACTCATCATTAAAGTCTTTTCAATTATATGAATACTGCCCTAGCCGATTTGGCTCAGTAGATAGAGCATCGGCCTGACTGAAGGGTCCCAGGTTCAATTCTGGTCAAGGGCTTGTACCTCAGTTGCAAGTTTGATCCCCAGAATGGGGCATACAGGAGGCAGCTGATCAGTGTTTTCTCTCATTGAAGTTTCTGACTTTCTCTTTGTAAAATCAATAAAATATATTTAAATAAATAAATAATCTTTTAAGAAAAACCAGTCATTATTTTTTTGTTGCTTTAACAGGTTCTAGATGATCTGGAATGTCATGGAGCTCCAGCATCAGAACAAAGCCGAGTAGAGCTGGAACAAAAAATAGATGAAGCTAAAGAAAATATTCGTAAAGCAGAGGTGAGGTGATAGCTCATTTTGCTCAGCCTCATCCATGTCTCAGCTGTGATATGTACCTTTAGAATTCAGTTTCTAGACACTGATTATTCTGAAGATGATTCACCATCTTCATCTGTATCAAGAGTATTATTTTTTAGTAACTGCTTCATATGAGGTGGTACACACAACAAAAAGACACTAAACCTGCTATGAAAAGTTTACAGTCATGAAACATTAAATAAAAAAATTTTAAGTTACAGTGAAGATACTAATTTTAAAGTTTCACAACATATGTAATAAATCAATCGAATTCATGGTATAGAAAGTTAACATGTATAAGTTCAGAGCCTAGAAAAGCCTCCCCTGAATGGAAGTCCTCCGGAATCATGGGCCTAGGGGCATAAACTGCACTTTTAAGAAGAGAAAAGCAGACAAGACAAAAAAGTCACAACAGCTTTGGCCGGTGTGGCTTCGTTGGTTGGAACATCATCCTGTACACCAAAAGGTGGTGGGTTCAATTCCTGGTCAGGGCACATACCCAGGGTGCAGGTTCCATCCCCAGTCAGGGCACTTACAGGGAGCAACCAATCGATGTTTCTCTCTCACATTGATATTTCTCCCTCTCTCTCCCCTTCCCTCCCTCTCTAAAATCAATAAACATATCCTTGGGTGGGAATTTTTTTTTAAATTATAAAGTGGGTTTTAATTTGGGGGAGGGGTTGTCATGGGACCCTTTAAGTGTTGTATGGAAATGTGAAACCCCTTCTCCCACCAAAAATAAAGGAACATTTTTATGTACAGTTTTCAGAAGTTCATGTACCCTGGGCTAATATTCCCTGATTTCAAGGGGGAAAGGTTAAGGTGGAAAGAAAGAACCTATTTGAAAAGGAGGAAGACATAGGCTATAGTTTGGCGGTTAGATTTGATTAGAGTTTTAGGAGGAAATGTGGTAGACAGTAAATAAATTAAATTGTGGTTAGGACCAGTTCGTGGAGGACCTGTGCACACTTGGATATAGTTATCTACTCAGCGCACCATGGGTGGGATATGGAAGTAAATATTTAAGAAAAACTGGGGATTTCCAGTCTTGTTAGGAAGGCATAAAGGATGCCAAAGATTACAAAGGCTGTAAAGGACGTGTGCCAAGGAGTGGTCCACTGAAGCATACTTAACACTTAAGAAATGCAGAAGAAACAGGTCACTGGGAGGCGTTGTTGGAACAGGTAATACAGAAGAAGAAGGACTTAAGATGAGTATTAAGAGATTAGTAATAGTTCATTAGTCAGGGGGAAAGGGATAGCGCGGATTTATGCCATGCAACCTCAAAAGGAAGAACTTGAACCAAAACAAGACAGGAAGGAGGCCGATCTGAGCTTGGTATTGGGAAATACCTTCTAACAGTCAGATCTTCCGAATGACAAAATAAGCTCCTCTGGGACATAGCGCAGCTTTACGATTCTGGGCAAACATCTCCTGGGACTCTCTACCCAGAATTCTTCGTTGGTTGAGGGTCCACTTCCACCAGTGTTTTCATAGACTCCCTCAGGATCTAGACGCTCTGAGGACGTGTTCCAGTGGTGAGGGGAGGGTGTGGTGGAGAGGTAGCAGAGACAAACAGAAAATATGAGCATGTTTGTGGCACGAGCCCATGGGAGTGACCGGAACCAGAAACAGCTTGCCATCTGCCCGGTCTAGAGAAGCCCGAGTAACCACAACTCGCCCTTTTTCCTGGCAAGCGATCCACAGCCTCCATAGTGAAGAGGGCAGGGCGTACAATAAATAGCCATTTTCCTCTCTGACTTCAGGGTCAGGCTAAACCACTACCCCAGTGGGCTGGCCAAGTACTATTGGCAGGTCCTTTCCTTGTTTGAGAAACATTGGCTTGTGTAGAAGAGCTTTTTCTTGTTTGTTTCTTCAAACTGTGGGTGAAGCCAGTTTCTGAGCTTTGGTGGAACAAGTCTCAGAAGTTTTCTGAAGAGTGTGCTCTCTCATATTTTCCATTTCCAGACTCCATCCCTGGTGTCACCGTCTGCTCTCCTAGCTCCACCAAACCTCCCAGTGGAGTGGTAGTAGGTATTAGACACACGGAGTCTACATTTAGCCTGAAATGACCTTTTATTTCCATGAATATGCTAAACTACCCTGTGTTTGTAAGCTTAAAGGTAAAAATATGAAGTGAGATTGCTAAGCAAAATGTCTGTCTCTCCCAAAACCAGTATTTAAGTCTGCATTCTCAAAAATAATTTTCTCAACAAAATATGAAACATTCAAAAGACCATGTCTGTGAAATGTATTTAATCTTGCTATTTTAACTTGATGATTTCCACTATCAGATACAGAGAATAACTCAGCTAAAATTAGATGGCAACTATGAGGGTATTGCTGGGGTAGTACTCAGAGGATTATCCTAATGACATTTTTGGATATATCCCTCTCTTCTTTCTTCTGCCTATATGATATTTGCATTGGATTTTCTCTTTTCATTCAGTATTTACTTTATTTATTATAAATACCTGCACCAAAGGGAAAAAGCTATAAAATTCCATTATATCCTTCATGTTTGTTTTTAACTTCTACTAGCATGCGTGTTATCCTCCCTTGTTGGCTCATTTGCTTCATCCAGGTTTTCTACATTGTGTTTTCATTCAGAGTTACTAATTAGAATAAAAACCTCTGTGATGCTCAGTAATAGATTAAAGAAACTTTCCATTCATCAGAAATTGAAAATATAAATGGTTTGTGCTTTTCAAAAGAATAGGAGTTATATAGTGAACTAGGAGCCCAACTGCGCAGCACCACCCACACTCGAGTTGCCAGTCCGGCCCTGCCTCGATCCCCGGGCTCCTCGGCAGCCACAGCCGCTGCCGGTCCAGCCCTGCCTCCCTCTTCAGCCCTGAAGCCACGGCCACTGCTGATCAGGCCCTCCCCCAGCACAGGTGCGCAGAGGCCCCTGCAACCCTGCCCCGCCACTGTGCGCAACCTCCTCCTGTCCAGTCAACCTGTTATGGCATCCCTGTTAATTAGCATATTTCTCTATTTTTATTTATATACATATAATTATTTACTGATCAATTGGGGAGCAGATTCACTAATTGATTAGTTTGGCAAATACTTAATGAGTTCCTGCTCTGTGCCAGATACTGATGAGTATATCTTTATTGATTTCAGAGAGGCAGGGAGAGGGGAGAGATAGAAACATCAATGATGAGAGGGAATCATTGATTGGCTGCCTCCTGCACACCCCCTACTGGGGATGGAGCCCACAACCTGGGCATGTGCCCTTGACTGGAATCAAGCCCAGGACCCTTCAGTCTGCAGGCGAATGCTCTATCCACTGCGCCAAGCCAGCCAGGGCTAAATTACACTTTAATAACAGTTTTCCTAACCTGGTATTTAGGTATTTGGATTTTTGAAATGCCTTTATCACACAGACACACACACATTCTTCATACATATCATACCTATTTTAAAAGGAGCTTGCCAAGAAGCCAAGAGTTTTTTTAAAGCCATCTTTTGGAAGTGGTACATAACTTATGTTGTTCCAGAATGCAATTATTTTTATGTCTAAATTATACCTTTTATTTGGCTTGAAGGCAGTTCTCTATCCTTATGACAGTGAAATGTTTAACACAAAGAGGAAAAGTTTATGTAAGGAGTTAAAGATACCCAGAAATTGTTAGTAATTTACATTTAGTGTAGGGTCTACAGGGGGAACTACAGACTATATGATTCTTTCTCCAAGATGTTAATGATAGTCTATGATCTGAATTGAAGTTGCAATTGAAAGCCAAAGTACATGTTATTAAATGAATTAATATCAAATGAATTAACAAAACAAAGATATTAATTATATAAACACATATTCAAAGCCATTTTTTCTTAAATTGTTTCATAAGGTTCTGTTGCACACTATGAATTCAAAATTACTAAGTCATCGAGGCCTGCTCAGGTCCTGGGGCTGCTGTCCGCCTCATAAAGCAAAGCAGAAGGTTTGTCTCCAGAAAAGACAGGGTCATCTTCTCCTCTGAGAAAGCCTCCTACATAATTGGCTTTGGCATCTTTCATGAACTAAATAGCAGGGATTGAGGCCTCGTGAGTCTGGGTTTTCAGCTGAGGGAGACAAGACAGTGGTTATAACCAGTAAGTCCAGAGTGTAGTTACCTCTAGAACATGCCACTGTTTGCCCAGCCAGGACTTCATGACAATCATAGAAGTGTATTCTTTAAATTATTATGTCATCTTTATACCTCAATAACTCAAAATGTTAAGACCCTTGCCATAATGCTCTAAGAGAAGTCTAAAAAGTTTTGTTGTATAAAATTTATTGCTATTTATAGAACACTCCACCACACTTTTACAGAATATGTGGAATATTCAACAAGATCAAATACTACACCATAAACTACTGTCAGTAAGTTTAAAATTGTTATCAAGCAAAATATGTTCTCTGACCCATCAGAATTAAAGATCAAGAACAAAAAAATAGCTGGAAAATCCCCAGATAGTTAGAAATTAAACTATTCAAACACCATAATCTGTTTCTATCTTAAAAGAAAACACCTAACTTTATTACCAAAACAACAATGATTTATTATCTCTCACCATTCTGGCTGTTGATTGTGTGTGTGTGTGTGTGTGTGTGTGTGTGTGTGTGTGTGTTTATTTATTTGCAGTTTTTGCTTGAGATTCCTCATTGAGCTGCATTCAGCTAGAGGGTCTGCATAAGAGAACTAGGTGTTTATTTTCCATATGGTCTTTCATCCTCGAAAAGGCTAACAGTGGGCTTCCTCACATGATGGAAGCACATTCCCCAAAAAATGAAGTCCTAAGAGCACTCATCAAACCTCTGTTTGCATCAAATTTGCATTTGTCCCATTAGCCAAAGCATATCAGATGGACAAGCCCAGAATTAACGTGGAGGGGACTACATGGACACTAGGAGGCATGATTTATTGAGGATAACAATTTACCACAATTAATATGACCTTGGTCAATTAATATGATCATTTTTCTAATCTCTAAACTAGAGGTTCTAATATTCATCCCCAGAATTGTTGTGTGGATTAAATGAAATGAGATATACAGACTTTACAAAACTATCAAAGTTTCATAAACTCAACTATGGCTTGATATTTAGATATGCTTATATTTTATATTAAAATCAGTTAATTGACAGTGTTCATACACCATGATATTGTATCCTAAAGGAACTGGCTTTACAAAACATCATTTAAAAAACTTCTGTCTCTTTACAAGTTCTAAAAATGAGTTGGTCGAGTTGTATCTAGAGTGCCATCAAGTTACAGACAGCTATACTCTGCAAAATTGTGATCCATTGGCAAATCATCAAAATTCATTTGAAAACACTGGAAAATTCTGCTTTTGAAAAGTTGTTAAAATATAAACATTTGAAACTAAAGGAAAGATAGTAATGTTTATTCTGGAACTGTAGTCAGTTATTTGGTAAAGTACTGGCAAAAATAAATCTTATAAAAACTAGATTTCTTGTTATTGAGAAAAAAGAATAAACTAATCTCTCATTTTCTCTTTCTATTTTTTTTAGAGCTGAATGGCTTACATTTATGATTTCCAAGAAAGGGTTTGTTGGTTCACTCTTTTTTAAAAAAAATATGTTTTTATTGATTTTTAGGGAGAGGGAGAGAGAGAGAGAAAGAGAGAAACATGCCAAAACCGATTTAGCTCAGTGGATAGAGTATCAGCCTGCGGACTGAAAGTTCCCAGGTTCGATTCCAGTTAAGGGCATGTACCTTTGTTGTGGGCACATTCTCAGTAGGGAATGTGCAAGAGGCAGCTGATCGCTGTTTCTCTCTCATCGATGTTTCTAACTCTCTATCCCTCTCTCTTCCTCTCTGTAAAAAAATCAATATAATATATTTTTTTTTAAATAAGAGAGAGAGAAACAATGATCAACTGCCTCCCACAAGCACCCCAACTAAGATGGAACCCACAACCTGGCCATGTGCTCTGACCAGAAATTAAACCAACAACCTAACTGGCCATCTTTTGGTGCACAGGACAAAGCTCAACCAACTAAGCCACACCAGGCAAGGTTCTCTGTTTTGTTTGTTTGTTTTAAACATTTCAGTGCCTATATTGGTTTAAAATACATACTGGAATGGTGCTAAAATAACAGAATATACACATGCAAAAAAATGAAGTTGGACCCGTACCTTATACCATATACCAAAATTAACCCTAAATTATCAAATACCTAAGTGTAACAGCTAAAACTAGAAAACTCTTACAAGAAACCATAGGGATAATTTTTTGTGACCTTGGATCAGTATATTAGATATGGCATTGAAAGCCAAAGCAGTATAACTTGGACTTAGTCAAAACTGAAAACTTTTATGTTTCAAAAGACACTATTAAGAATGTAAAAAACAAACTCACGGGGGGGGGGGGGGGTATTTAGAAAGTATGTATCTGATAAGAAACTTTTATTTAAAATATATAAGAACTCTTACAATTAAAACACAGACAAAATAAAAAGACAACACAGCCTGGTTACTGTGGTTCAGTGGTTGAGCATCAACCTGTTATAAACCAGGTGGTCACGGTTCAATTTCTGGTCAGGATACATGTCCAATTTATGGGCTTGGTCCCCAGTAAGGGGTGTATAGGAGGCAGCCAATCAATGGTTCTCTCTCATCAATAATTTTCTCTCCCTCTCCTTTCCTTTCGGAAATCAATAAAAATATATTAAAAGCCGCCCATAATAATAAAAGAGTAATATGCTAATTAGATCAGACGTCTTCCGGATATCCTTCCTGACAAAACTAGGCCTGGGCAAAGCTGCCCACAATCCTGGGCACCTGCAGCTTTGGCCGGCCTGCAACGATGCTTATGGCCGCAGCCAAACCAGGTGAAGCCACCCCTGTGGCCAGCCCAGGCAAAGCCCCTAATAGTCCCGGATGCAGGGGCCAAGGCAGAGGTGATTAGGGGCAATCAGGCCAGCAGATAGAGGGGTTAAGGGAGATGAGGCAGGCAGATGAGCAGTGCATGAATTTTGTGCACCAGGCCTTTAGTAAGTAAGTAAGTAAATAAATAAACAAACAAACAAACAGACAACCTAATTTTAAAATGGGCAAATGATCTAATTAAACATTTTTTTAAAGGAGATATAGGAATGATCTCAATCCTTTAAAATACGTATGCCTAAAAATCTTCAGAATATAAAATAAACTCAGCAATGAGAACTCAATGAAATAAGTCAGAGCTCAGATCCTTTTTCATACCAACTCCCCCCATCAAATTTTGTGCCAGAAGGGCTCAGTGAGCACACTTGTTTGCCCCAAAGTCCCACAGAAGGCCATCAAGTAAGGGTCCTTAAAATTACCTTAGTGGAGCCTTCAACAGTTGGAGGAAGAGACTACTACTCTCTTTTGAGGAGCAATGAAGCTAAACGTACTACTTGCTAAAGCAAAGGAGAATGATACTTACAAAATACAGTCTCTCTGAACAAAGTAGAAATATAGGGTTTTGAGAAGTGTGGATTTCAGAGATTGGCATATTTTCAAAACAGGGAGTGTTTTACAGATTGGCTCACTTTTTTTTATTTTATTTTTTTAATATATTTTATTGATTTTTTTATAGAGAGGAAGAGAGAGTTAGAAACATCGATGAGGGAGAATCATTGATCAGCTGCCTCTTGCACACCCCCTACTGGGAATGTGCCCGCAATGAAGGTACATGCCCTTGACCAGAATCGAACCTGGTCAAGGTACACGCCCTTGACCAGAATCCGCAGGCCGATGCTCTATCCACTGAGCCAAACTGGTTTCGGCAGATTGGCTCACTTTTAGCTGTGGTGAATAGAGGGATTCCCAGGGTGCTGATGACAGGAGGGAGGCTCTGGTTAATTGGATGCCTGTCACTGATTGACTACTCTCAGAGGCATGGCTATTGAAGCAAAGAATTTGCCATTTTACAGGGACAGGTTTAAAGTGGTTCAGTGATTACCTTCTTACCTCTTGGAACAAGAGCCAAAACAAGCAGTCTTTCCGTTTAATTTTTTATTTTCAATTTCTACTATTTTTGACAGCTGCATAATAAATTAATTTAAAATCTTTACACACTAGTCATGAAAGTTTTTAGGCAGGGAGTGACATGATGAGATCATTTGCAGACTTGTAAAAAACGGATTACAGAGGAAAAGAAAAAGTCCAAGAGGTGGGCAGAAGGCTGTTGAAGATGCTCGATTTTAGGATGTTCTGAGGCATAGCCTTATTAAGAAGAAAAGGACGCAGACTTTATAGCACATCAGTATCTTCCTGTTTGTAAGTTATAGTTGATACTTCTTGTGGATGCAGGTGTGCCCTTTGCTGTTGTCAGCAGCCGGATTCCTGTTCTTGTGTCCCCTCCCCTGCACACCGCCTTTCTACCTTTCCCTCTCTCCGTCTCTCCAGCTGAAAAATTAACAACTATGCCAAGGCAGGCTAGCTGGTGAATGTAATATTGTACTAGTTAATGTCAGAAATAACAAAATCAACTTGAGAGAGAAAATGCCTTGATTGCTGACCGTTTTCTTGGTTTTCTTAGATAATTAAGCTAAAAGCTGAAGCCCGGCTGGACCTGCTGAAGCAGATCGGTATTTCCGTGGACACGTGGCTGAAGAGTGCAATGAACCAAGTAATGGAAGAACTGGAAAACGAGCGATGGGCCCGCCTGCCTGCAGTGACCAATAACGGCACTTTACACTCGGTATGGTTTCTCTTCTTGGATCTGATAGGCTAACTTTCACTGAAGGAGGATATTCTTTGACTCTGTAGCCAAACCTGATAATGGCTAAAATTTTAAAGAAAAAAAAATAATGGTTTTGCTAGTGGTTTGGTTTTTGTTTGTTTGTTGTTTTGTTTTTTTCTTTAACCTATCACTGATTGAGTTAAACTTTAGTGTAAGAAAGAAGTGTGTTGGAGGGGAATAGTGCTCTTTAAAAATGTCCAGTGAAGAATATATTCTCCCTAATTGGTTTATCTCTTTGCCATAGTCATTATCCCATTTCATGAAATAGATATGCTTCTTGTCTGAAAGTAGCAAAGTAAAAATTTTAATCTAGGGTTTCTGAAGTTCTCGGAAGTCTTTTCTAGTGTAAAAGAAAATAGACATCCAGAGAGTTGGAAACAATCTTAAAGAAGGGATAGGAACACTTTGTCTGTTTGGTTCACAAGGGCTTTCACCCTCTGCTCACAGGGCCTTTCACAGGGGACGGTATCTTACAAACAAGGCCAGACTCAGGCTCATACTGTCAAGTCCAGGGCTTGCTCCACTCCATGTCATCCAGTTAAAGTTAAACCTTAGTTGCCGAAACCGGTTTGGCTCAATGGATAGAGTGTTGGCCTGCGGACTGAAAGGTCCAGGGTTCGATTCCAGTCAAGGGCATGTACCTTGGTTGCGGGCACATCCCCAGTAGGGGATGTGCAAGAGGCAGCTGATCAATGATTCTCTCTCATCGATGTTTCTAACTCTCTATCCCTCTCTCTTCCTCTTTGTAAAAAAACAAAAAAATATATATTTTTTTAAAAAAAAATTTTAAGTTAAACCTTAGTTTTTCACTTTGGAGATCTGAATTCCGGAAGAGTTCACTGATTTCCCTGATACTATATAAGTAGGCATAATGATACCTGGCTGGCGACACTAAACTAATCTCTGTTGATACCTCCCCATCATTATTCTCTCTCTGTTTATTTCCTTGTGGCATGTATTACAATTTGCTAAAAGCCCGGTGCATGAAATTCGTGCACTTGGGGGGTGGAGGGTTCCTCAGCCCAGCCTTTATCCTCTTGTAGTCTGGGAGCCTTCAGGGGATATCCAACTGACAGCTTAGGCCCACTCCCGCCTGGCCAGCTATGAGCCTGGCTTCTGGCTGAGTGGCAGTCCCCCTGTGGGAGCCCACTAACTACTAGGGAGCAGCTCCTGAATTGGGTATCTGTCCCCTGGTGGTCAGTGCACATCATAGTAACTGGTAATTCTGGCATCAGGCTAAAATCGGCTCTCCAAAATCCCCCAAGAGATCACAGATTGTGAGAGGGCATAGGCCAGGCCAAGGACCCCACAAGTGCACGATCTGGGCTGGGAAAGGACACAAGAGGTTGGCCAGCCAGGGAGGGACCTCAGGAGGGCTCCAGGGCATGTCCAGCCTGTCTCGCTCAGTCCCAATTGGCTGGACCCCAGCAGCAAGCTAACCTACCAGATGGAGCATCTGCCCCATGGTGGTTTGTGTACATCATAGCAACTGGTTGATGGTTGACTATCTGCCCCCAGTGGTCAGTGCACGTCATAGCAAGTGGTTGAGCAGCCTTGACATACCATTAACATATTATGCTTTGATTGGTTGGATGGCTGACTGGATTTTATTTATTATCTTTCTCTCTAGAATGTAATCCCCATGCCTGCCTGATTCATGCTGTGCACAGCAAAGTGCCTGGCACATAGTAGCTATTCAATAAACAACTGTTGAAGGAAGAAAAGGAGGGAAGGAAGGAGGAAAAAGGGAGAGAGGGAGGGAAGGAAGGAGGGAATTGTGGCAAACTAAAAAATAAAATTCTAATCTTCTAACTTCCCACTATAGCCATAAGTGCCCCTTCAGTGTTTGTGCCCTTCAGATTTAAAAAGGCATCTTTGCTAGAAAAATTGGCCAAAGAAATTCCAAAATTCTAGGAATGTTTAAGAACATTCCTAGAATTTTTCTCAATTTTTTTACATACCAATCTGCTTGCACATTTAAAAAGGATTGTGTGAGCATGTGCATTTTAAGGAAAAATAAACTATTAAAGGTTTATTTTTATTTCACTGTTTTTGGTAACGCAGCTGGGGAAAATAAGCACACACTATCCACTTGACTTTGCGGTTAGAAGAGCTTGCATCTTTTAAGTCAAACTCCCATCTACTTCAGGTTATTCTGTCGTACAGGAGCTGTGAAACAGCAAACTCCAGGCACAGGTTTGCTTTTGGCTTCATCAGCAGCCCTGTTGGCAGCCAATCAAGCCCATGCTTTTCCTTGGACTAGCACCTTTTCTAAGTACGTCAACTGGGTTGGCACTTACCACCTAACTGTGTGCTTGCTTCCAGAGCAAATCAGAAATGAACAAGATTTGGTCTCTCTCCTCAAAGAGCATACAGGCTTTTATAGATCTCGTGTGTGACTGGGCTGTCGTATGGCAAATTCAAAATTGCTTACTCCTGAGGGAAGATGAGGTGGAGGTGGAGATGAGGGGGAAGAGATCAATCAAAGAACTTGTATGCATATATGCATAACCCATGGACATAGACAATAGGGGGATGAAGGCCTAGAGGGGCTTTAGGGTGGGCTGGAAGGGGTCAATGGAGGTGAAAAGAAGGACCTGTGTGCTTTCAACAATAAATATTTTTTAATTGCTTACTCCTATCTCATATTTACACCTTTGAAAAAGTCACTTCTCTCTGGGTTTCAGAAAGAAAGTTAAGTGAAATGATTCTAAGATCTCCTCTAACTACAAAATCTCATGATTTTTGTATAAAGAGTCGTCAGTAAAGCTCAATACCAACTAGAAAAATAGGAAAGACGTTTGGCCAAGAAGGAGATTTTATTTGAGATGGTCCTTGAAGAACTTCAAAATGAGATTTTAAAAAAGGGCTTCTGAGTGTGAAGGAAGAAAATGAAGATGTGCCTAGTACAGTGTCTGGCAGTAAGAAGTGCAGTCAGGCAGTGGGTGTTGACTAAATTGGGTATTTCTGAGAACTGTCCAAAGACATCAGCTCTTCTAGAGACATACCATATCTCCTGTGAAAGGAGCATGTTGCAATCAATCCCTTTTCACTCTTCTTTTCCTCTAGTCAGTCTTAGGAGCTTGTGTCTTCATGCTTTCAGCTGAATGATGTATTTTGTGAAAACTCTACAGAACAATACAAATAAGGGAGAGATATAGTCACAAAATAGCTTAATGAAGCCTCAATGTTTATTTAACCTGCTTTTAAATGACAGCACTGAAATTATTCAGAGGGAGTTATCTCTTCACACTGACAGCTAGCTGGCTAGGACCACAAATCACAAATGCACAGTCTGGGGACTAAATTGTTTCTTCCATTATAGATGCCAACAGAAACATTAGTCATCAAGTTTAGAATTCCCTTCCATCTGGAAAACGTGGTAAATACTGCTGTTATACATCAGCAGTGTAAAGTGCCTTATAGAAATAAGGAAGGAACTATACTTTAGTTGGGTATTAACTCTTTGCCTTCTGTATTATCCTGTAGCACAGAATATAGGATTGGGGCGGGGGGTGGGGGGGGGAAACAAATATTCACAGAATATACCACCATTTTTTAAAAGGAGAGCACTCTGCTGTTATATCCAATTGATGGTTAACCGAAGCCTACACACAGCTTCATATGATCTTCTTCCTGCCACTATAGATTAGTTTGAATTTCCTAAAATTTTATATAAACAAAATCATACAATATGTACACTTTTTTGGGGGGAGGGCAGTGTCTGACTTTTTCACTCAGCATGATAATTTTGAGGATCATCCCATGATGATGCATGTACAGTAGTTCCATCTTTCATTGCTGGGTAGTGTTCCACAGGTTGTTTATCCATTCACCTGATGATGACGGACATTTGGGTTTGGGGGCTATTACAAGAAAAACTGCATTGAACATGTTTTGAGTGGGTTATATATTATCGGTGTAAGTGGAGTTCTTGGGGTGCCCCGAGGAAAAGAATCTTCTGAGGCCCCCACAGGAGGATGGGACTTTGTGGGAAAGTTTTATCGATTATGTAAAATTAAGGGGGTTCCCTCCAAGGTCCCATCTCTCTCTGTCTCCTCACGGGAGAAGTCCGATCTTGTTTTCAGCAGGGCCAGAATGAAGGGTGTGGACGGTGGTTCCTGGGGAGCATGAGGCCGTAGCTTCCTGGTAAAACTGCCCAAATGGCCATGCTTATCATGTCTGGCCTCCCCTTTGCTCTCTTCCTCTTATTAACTAGCTAAAGATGATGGTAACATTATAGTGGGTATATGTTTAACATTTTAAGAAACTGCCAAACTATTTTCTAGAATGGTTATACCATTCTACACTCCCATCCCTAGGATGCTGGTGTTCCCAGCGGATCCACAACCTTGCCAACACCTGGTATGGTCAGTCTTTTTAATTTTAGACATTCTAATAGGTATTCAGTAGTATGTCATTATAGTTTTAATTTGCATTTCATTAATAATGTTGAACACCTTTTCATATGAAGAAGTATTATCTCCATTATAGAGATTAAGTTGAGAAGTTAAATAATTTCCCCAAAGTCACACAAGTAAATGGCATGGTCAGCATTCAAACCCATGTGTGTGTTGAACCTAGAGGACCCAGTGCTTTCCTAGTTTATTATAGGACCTTAAAGCCTTTTCAGAGCTTATTTTGCCAAGTACAAGAAGATGGCTACTGACACCAACTCAAGAAGGTTGCCCTTGCAATAAGAGTAAGCATTTTATAACTTCAAAGAAAGGGAAAATATTAGTACAGCTAAAAAGAATCGTGATTGAAGTTCTGTCAGGTGACAGGAAAGGGAAAGGGTAAGAGAGCAGATGTTATGAAACAGAGCGATGCAAAAAGCACGCGGCAGTGACCCTTACTGCTGTCTACAACCTTTCGTTCCCTTTCTCGAGAATCAAAAAGTGAACTCAGGACATAAAGGGGAAGGACGGAATGTTTAGTATCAAACAGTATTGCCAAGATAAAATGCTTTGGCTTGATTCCCAGTGCCAAAGCACAGTACATAGTAACATTCCTTATATATTTTTGGAAATTTGTTCTACCCACATTGGCTTTAATTTTAGTTTTTAAAGATGTATGGGTGTTTTTTGTTGTTTTGTTTTGTAATGGCAACAGTTGTTTTTTTTTTAATGTCTATAACCTTTACTAGAATATGAAAGCAATTTCTAGCATATGATCCTCATCTTTTATGACACAATGCCTTGTTGGAAAATAGTAGAATCATAAGCCTGAGGTGATTTGAAAGGTCAAGATTTGAGCCTACTTTGTCATCGACCTGACTGACCATAGATGAATTATTTGTAAGATGAGGTAGACAAGTCTACGGCCATACCACCCTGAACGCGCCCGATCTCGTCTGATCTCAGAAGCTAAGCAGGGTCGGGCCTGGTTAGTACTTGGACGGGAGATGAGGTAGACAATTTCCTCACTCAGTTGTGAAGATTTTCAATAGTAGTTATAAATTAGAATATACAGGGATTTTGAAATGGAACCAATAAATGTGATGGAAAATATGCATAATTTAATCTTCTGAAACCCACACATACAAAAAAAAAAAAATTCTATAGAATTTTGTTAGAGAAATGCCGTTAAGAGGAGAGTCCGTTTTAAAACGTTAGTGATAATTAAGAGAAGTCATTTTAATTTATTAAAAAGTAGAACTTAACAATTAAAGGCAGCCTCTACTTTTTGACTCATGAAATCCAGGAAATCTCTGACCTTCTCCAGTGACCTCTTTCATACGCATACTTCCCTACGCATAGCATTTAGCTGCAGTAGTTTTCCACTTAGATTGTGAGCTCCTGCAAAGCATGGATGGTGCCCTCCGTTTCATATTTAAGAGCCTAGCATAGTGTTCAACATATAGTTGGTATTTGATATTTTAATTAATTGTTCTATATAAGGCCCAGTTTGACTGTTCATTCCTTATATCCTTAATGTGCAAACATTGGTGCCTTTGAATGTTTAAACAGGGGAAAATGTAGCCAAATAAGTGCTTATATGTAGCTACAAACAAAGAAAACTTTAAGCCTGGTTTTGTTTCATCTTTACTGGGTTTTTAGTTTAAAAAGCAAAACACGTTTGTTCTAATAGTTCAGATAGTACAGGGGTATATAAAAAAAACAAGTCAGTCACCTCTCTGTTCTCAGTCATTACTCTGTTTACTCTATCTTCCCCTGTCAGATAGTTATGATTATACCAATATTATTTGTACTTTAATATCATGGACAGCACTCTAGGTAAATACATTTTTTATATTTTGTACCATTTTAATTAATATGTGCCTTTTAGCTGTGGTGACTAATACACTTTCAAACTTCGTTAAAATTTGTTTTCCTCATGCTGTATTTCAAAAGTAAAACTCCACCCTCCCCCTCAAACCCCAGTTTCTGACAACCAAAATTCTATTTTATGTCTCTGTGAATTTGACTATTCTAAGTACTTCATATAAGTAGAATTGTACTGTTTTTATCTTTTTGTGGCTGGCTTATTTAATTTAATATTAATGTCCTCAAGGTTCACTCATATTGTAGTATGTATCATAATTCCCTTCCTTTTCAAGGCTGAATAATATTCCATTGTATGTCAGTCCATTCATCTTGGATTGCTTTCACCTTTTGGCTACTGTAAATAATGCTGCTATTAACATTGTCATACAAATATCTATTCAAGTCGCTGTTTTCAAATTCTTTGGGGTATATACCTAGAAGTGAAATTGCTGGATCATATGGTAATTCTATGTTACATTCTTTGTGGAACTACCATACCATTTTTCACAGCTGCTGCACCATTTTACATTCCTAACAGCAGTACACAAGTGCTTCCTTTTTCCACTTATTTCCTATCTTTTGATAATGGCCATCCTAATGAGTGTGAAGTGATACCTTGTTATAACATGTTTTGTTTGCATTTCCCCAATAGTTAGTGAAGTTGAACATCTTTTCATGTGCTTATTGCCCATTCGAATATCTTCTTTGGAGAAATGTGGTTTTTTTTAGGTCCTTTATCCATTTTGAATTGGGTTGTTTTTATACTGTTAAGTTTTAGGCATTCTTTATATACTATCCTGGATATTAATCCCTTATCAGATATATGATTATATATGAGATATCTACATGTAAAAGAGTGAAGTAGAACCTTACCTTATAGAAATTAACTCAAATTGATCAAAGACCTAAATGTAACAGCTAAAACTACAAATTCCTAGAAGAAAACACAGGGGAAAAGTTTCATGACACTGGATTTGGCAACGATTTTAACTCTTTTTTTTTTTTTACTGTTGAGTTTTAGGCATTCTTTATATATTTCTAGATATTAATTCCTTATCAGATATATGATTTGCAAATATTTTCTCCCATTTTGTAGTTTGCCTTTTTTACTCTGTCCTTTGATGCATAAAAGTTTTTTATTTGATCAAGTCTAATCTATCTTTTTTTTCTCTTATTACTTGTGTTTTTGGTGTCATATCCAAGCAATCATTGCCAAATCCAGTGTCATGAAGCTTTTCCCCTGTGTTTTCTTCAAGGAATTTATGTTCACTCTTTTACATGTACATATCTCATTTTCCCAATACCGTTTGTTGAAAAGACTGTCCTTTTCCCATTGAATAATGTTGGGACCCTTGTAGAAAATCATTAAAATCATATATGGGAAGGTTTATTTCCGGGCTCTCTATTCCCTAACTCATTTTTTATTGGTGTTATTGATCTATAATATAGATATATCACAGTTTATCAAGACATTCCTCTATTGATGACCATATAGATTGTGTTCAGGCTTTTGCCACTACATGCAGTGTTGCAGTAAACATCCTAGATTATATAGTCCCACTTCCTGATGCTTTTATTTCTCCATAATGGATTTACAGAAGTGAAATTGCTAGATCAAGTGGTATGTTTAATTTTTTATTTCAGTAGGTAGGTTATTTATTTTAAGGAATATGTCAAATTACATTTTTATCAGCCATAGATGAAAGCCTGTTTCTCCATATCCTTGTTAACATTTAGAAATCTTTTTGATGTTCCCCAATATGATCAGTTTAAAATGGTAAGAGGTCTTCATTAGTTGGTATTTAACAGTGAAAAGTGAAAGGATGCTGATAAAAATTTGAAAGACATTTACTCTTGTTTTAAAAACCTGTGTCCTTTCATAACATGAAAAATGTGAGTGAGAATAGATACTTTTATTTCTATTTTAGAGTCCTGGTGTACGAATTCGTGCACCAGTGGGGTCCTCAGCCTGGCCTGTGGGATCAGGCCAAAACCAACTCTCTGACATCCCACAAAGGGTCCCGGATTGCGAGAGGATGCAGGCCAGTCCCCACCATTGCACAATCAGGGCCAGAGAGGGATGTGGGAGGTTGGACAGCCCAGGAGGGACTGCAGGAAGGCTCCTAGGGCATGTCCAGCCCAGCTCACTCAGGCCTGATCAGCCGGGCCCCAGAAGCAAGCTAACTTACCAGTCAGAACATCTACCCCTTGGTGGTCAGTGCACATCATACCGAGTGGTTGACCATTCTTAGCATATCATTAGCAATTTATGCTTTGATTGGTTGAATGGATGACCAGACACTTAGCATATTAGGCTTTTATTATATAGGATGCAGTTGAATAAGTTAATATTTTAGAATAATTGGGTTTTAAGTATTTCTCTTACTTTCAATCACTTTTTTGAATTTTTCAAGGTAGCCAATGGCTTCTAATTTTTCCTAGCTTAATGCAGATACTGAAAGAGAAGAAGAAGAGTTTGAAGACAACATGGATGTTTTTGATGACAGCAGTTCCAGTCCTTCTGGCACCTTAAGAAATTATCCACTCACCTGCAAAGTTGTTTATTCGTACAAGGTTTGTATTTCTCTAACACATTGCTCATATTAAATTGTAACGGCTCTGAAGATACATATAACTGTATCATCCCAGCCTCTCATACTGCGTTTAACATAAAATTGGTGTTCAGTTAATATTAGAGGCAACATAACATAATGGTGAAGAATCTAGGCTCTGATGTCATTTGCCTGGGTTAAAATCCTATATTAGCCTCTTAAGGAGCTATATGAGCACACTAGTCCCTTAGTCTCTGTGAGCCTCAGTTTTCTTATCTATAGTATGGGAATAATATTATAAAGCTAGTTGAAATTAAATAACACTTTTATAGCAAAGTACTTATCATAGTGCCTGGCATCTGATAAACTTTCAGTACATAGAACTCTTACTCTTGTTATCAGGTGCCTGCTTAACACTAGACCCTCTATTAAGGTGATCCACCTTAAAAAAAATTTTTACACAGCAGGTGGTTTCCTAATCTTGCTATAACCAACTCTAGTTTCCATACTAAGCAAGGACCTGGATAAGTAGATGCCAGAATATCCAAACTTGGTTTAGTATAATAGTTCTCAATCTCACTCACCCCTGCCCTGCTTGCGCATTAAGTTTTTACTCAGTAAATTGGATTTCAGTTCCTCTTGTTTTCTCTTTGCCTCACTCCACTCATCCAGTCCATCAGTCAGTCCTATTGAGTCCACTTTCAAAACATATCCTGAATCCATTCCTTTTTCACCATTTTGGTCTAGGCCATTGCTTTGATTACAGTAAGTGGAAAGAAACCACTCATAATTGGTATCCCTTCTTCATACTTGCCTCCCAAAAGTCCATTCTGCAGCCAGAATTATCTTTAACACATAAAGAAGATTATTTTGTCCCCCTGCCTGAAACCCTTTTAAACTTCCCACACATTTAGAAAAACAAGCTCTACACTAGATTGGTCTGGCCCCTGCCGGTCTCCCTAGCTTCACGCCAGACCCTTCCCCCTCCTAACCCCTCATTCACTACGTTGGCCCCTCTGGCTGCCTTTCCATCTTCAAAGGCACCAGGCTTCTTCCTGTTTTGATAACTTTGCACTTGCTGTTCCTCTACCTAGAACTGTCTTTTCCCAATCTTGTTTAACTGCCCTCTGCTATTCATTGAGGCTCAGTTCACATAGTGCCTCCTCAGGTCTCCCCTGACCATGTAAACACATAACTGACTGCTCAGTCACTCCTCTCTATCCCTTTGCCCTTTGCCTTCTTTTATCTACTAAATAGCCACTTGTCATCAACTACACTTAAGTTTATTTGTTTTTACACTTCTTTGTCTGACTCCCCCCTAAAAGTTCATGGAGGCAGAAACCTGTCTGTGCCTGTATACCTTGTCTATGTGTCTTCGGCATGTAGGACTGTGCCTGGCACAAAGTAGGTACTCAGTAAATAATTGTGGAATAAATAAATGATGTAAGAAAGGCATGAACAAATGAACCCTCCTCTGGCTCTCATGCTGATGGAAACCCAGTGCTTAGGGGACAACAACAGAGGAAGAGTCTGGAAAGAATCTCCAGCAATCATATACGGGATAGTCTCACTCCCACCATCCCCATCCCTGGATAAGCCAAAGTTGGCAGTATTTACTTCTCGATATCAGTGGTTTCCAGACTTTTTAACTTAACATCCTTTCATTATATATTTAAATTAAAAATACTTTCTCTTTTCTGAAAGAGTTGGGATTTTTTTTTCTTATGTAAACTGTTTAGATAATCTTTTAAAATTTTGAAATAATCTTCTGAGATACTTGGAGAGTTGTTAAAGAGATTATAAAACTAGCTTTGAGAATGTTTCTCCATCTCACCGTGTCTCAATATTGTATTTACTTTGAAGTTTCAGAATTAAAATTTGAGATCCTTAAGTGGAAAAGGGTCCTAGGTGTCTGAGTGATCTCACATTCGCCCAACATCCCCTCTGTTGGCATATCCCAGGTATGTCCCTATGGTAAACAGACTATACAAATCTATTTAATCAATTAATCATTAAGCATTTATTGAGTGCCCATTTTGTGATAACTTTTGCAAATGCAAGAATGAATGTGGCATAATCCATGTCCTCAAAAAATGGATAATCTGGGAAGAATAAATATTAAATTGAAAAAATAGAATATGTCTGAAAATATAGTAGAGGTAAAACTGCTAATTCTCCCTGTGATGGTTGGGAGAAATTTTACAGACAAGGTGGCATTTAAGTTAGATCATGGATTCTTAGATCTTTCTAGATACAGTGAGAAGGAAGGGAAGGGAAGAGAAGGAGCCTTCTAAGCAGAGAGAACCATAGATACAAATGTGATGAGCCTATGGGTGTCTGGGAAATTCAGTGGTGCATGAGCATCAAGTGTGGAGAACAGAGCAGCTGGAAGTAAAGGTGTTTGCCATCGGACAGCAAAGGGCCTTGTAGACCAGACTGAAGTTTGTCTTTTATCCTGCCTGGGAGGAGCCATTGGATGTCCTAAAGTCAGACTGGGCCTTTAAGAAGGTAACTCTGATCCTGACTTAGATAACCATAGAGGACAGGCTCGATTGGAGATTAAATATAAGCCTAATAGTGATTCCTATAGTCCTGAATAGCAAAAAGGCCTGGATTAATCTTGTGAAAATAAAGAAAAGCTGTATTTAAGAACCAGATTCAAAAACCTTGAAAATGCTCATAGAGAACCAGAAACAGCGTGTGGGTCTCCTCCCTCTTTCGGCCTTCGTAGGAGCGCCAGCCAGCCCTCAAAATGAAGTTCAATCCCTTTGTGACTTCTGACCGGAGCAAGAACCGTAAAAGGCATTCAATGCACCTCCCTGCATTCAAAGAAAGATTATGTCTTCTCTTTCTTTTTTTTCTTTTTTTAATATATTTTATTGATTTTTTTACAGAGGAAGGGAGAGAGAGAGAGAGAGAGCTAGAAACGTCGATGAGAGAGAAACAAAGAGCAGCTGCCTCTTGCACACCCCCTAACGGGGATGTGCCCGCAACCAATGTACATGCCCCTGACCGGAATCGAACCTGGGACCTTTCAGTCCGCAGACCAACGCTCTATCCACTGAGCCAAACCGGCTTCGGCTATGTCTTCTCTTTCCAAAGAGCTGAGAGAGAACTACAATGTTTGATCCGGGCCCATCCAGAAGGATGATGAAGTTCAGGTTGTTCAAGGACATTAAAAGGTTAGCAAATTGGCAAAGTCGTCCAGGTTTACAGGGAGAAATATGTCCTCTACATTGAACGAGTGCAGTGAGAGAATGCTAATGGTACAGCTGTTCATGTGGGCATTCTCCCCAGCAAGGTGGTCATCACTAGACTAAAGCTGGACAAAGACCACAAAAAGGTCCTTGAACATAAAGCCAAATCTCGCCAAGAAGGAAAGGAAAAAGGGAAAATACAAGAAAGAAACAATTGAGAAGATGCAGGAATAAATATCACATACAACTTTCATTAAAAACTTAAAATGAAAAAAAAATGCTCATAGCTTTTGAACCTACTAGCATAAATCCTAAGGAAATGACCCACAATAGAGAAATATGTTTTGGATACAAAATGTTCTTTCATCATTTTATAAAGCATCTACTTTATAATAGCTCAAAGTCGGCAATCCAATAAGGAAATAAATATATTAACTACTGATACAATGTAACAATATTATGAAAATAATTGAAAATTACAATAGTGAGTTTTTTGTGTAAGAAGAAATGCTATGTCAAAAGAAGATACCAAATTGTATGTACCTTAACATCTCAGTTGTGCATATTTTCAGCTTTTTTACAATGACATACATTACTTTTGTCTTGGGGGGGGGGCATATTGTTTTAAAAGGAAACAGGAAATTTAGAGAGAGTGTGGGGGTAATTGAGGGCATGGCTGCTTCTGGAGTCTGGCTGTCACTGTACATTAGAACTTTAGGTGGCAGTGTGAGACCATGTCTTTACCAATAACCACTTACCGACCAATCTGCTGTCATTAGTTGGGTGGAAGAGATTACCTTCCCTGCCTTAAGTAAGTCATTCTAGTAGGAAGCCCACAAGGGCGAGCAGCTAACTTTGATGCATGGTGGTCAGTGGTAGAGGGATGTGCAAAGCCCATGAGAGCAGGAGGAAGAAGCAGCCAGCTCCTTGTGGGTCGTCTGGGAAAACATGAGCTGGGCCTCAAATCATGAATAATAATAGTGGCTGCCATTTATGAAGTACTGTGTGCCTGGCACTATATTTTTTTTCTAATCTATTTCCAAGCCATTAATTCAACAAATATGATTTCAACACCTTCCATGTACCTAAAAGACTGGATTCAAGGATCTAGCATTGATCAACACAGACAAAAATCTTTGCTCTTGTGGAGCTTACATTCTAATAAGAATTAAAAGAAAACTGAGGCTCAGAGAGGTCTTATGGTCACTTGCCTAAATTATGAAGATAATTGAAAATTACAGACTGAAGTTGGACTTGAACTCATAGTAATCGAAACCCATTCACTGGATGGGAAAGAGGGAGCAGCAATTGCTGGAAATAAGGAACAGCCTGGTAAAAGCATAGAGGCAAGGGCACATGGTGTGTTCAGAGAATAGGACCAGTGTGCTAGGGCCAAAGACCAGATTCTGTAGGGTCCTTAGTGCCATGCAGAGGGCCTGACCTTGTCAGTTAGAATTGGTCACTTCTTGGAGGTGGTATGATCAAGAAGGTATCTGCTTATATAAGTGTTGGACAACTTGCATGACCTCCATTCCATGACTTTTTTATAAGGACAGCAATATATTTAAAGTCTTTTTATTATTATTATTATTTTTTAATTTATTTTGAGAGAGAGAGAGAGAGAAGCATCAACGTGGAAGAGACACATCAATCAGTTGCTTCCTATACGTGCCTCAAGCCCCAATCAAACCCACAACCGAGGTCTATGCCCTGACCAGGAATAGACCTTCTGGTGCATGGGACAGCGCTCCAGCCAACTGAGCCGCACCAGCCAAGGCCATTGGTTGATTTTTGTACGAGCCCTGACTGAGGCTCATACTCTCAACTTTGGCATATTAGACGCTCTAACCAACTGAGCTACCCAGCCAGGGTGACAGCAATATATTTAAAGGTGTTCTTATGTTTGGCTCTTGGTACTTGTTGCTATTGTTATTTTTAATCCTCGCCCATGGACATTTTTTCTGTTTGTTTTTAGAGAGCTTGTGGGGAGGGAGGTGGAGAGAGAAGCATGGATCGGTTGCCTTCCACACATGCACCAACTTGGATGGGGATAGAACCTGCAACCCAAGTACACATCCTTGACCAGAAATCCAACCTGTGACCCTTCGGTGCACGGGTTGACACTCTAACCACTTAGCAACACAGGCTGGAGCATGTTGGCACTTTTTTAAGTCTTGCCGTGGAATTAGGAAGAATATCTTGGTTATATAGGTGCCTTTTGCTGGTATATTGAAGGTATAATGTGGTTTTAGATTAGCAAAGAAATTCCTTTGGAAAAGCTGTCAAGAACCAGTGAGGCCTGGCTAGAGTGGCTCAGTAGTCCTGTGCACCAAAAGGTTGCCGATTTGATTCCAGGTCAAGGCATGTATGGAAGGCAACCGATCGATCTGTGCCTCTCTCTTTCCCTCCCCCCTTCTCTTTTTCTTTCTATCCTCCCATCCGCCCCCCCTCTATCTCCCTTCCTCTCTCTAAGAATGTCTTCAGGTGAGGATTAAAAAAAGACTACTCAGTGAGCTTTTTTCCCTCATATTTTGAGATCAGAGGTAATTTACTTAACATTCTGGTCCTGGAGAAAATACTTATGTGAATGGTCAGCTATTTTCAATACTATTTTTCCATCTCAAGCAATGTCCAGGATCTGGGTTTGATAAATGTTTTAATGTACATGAAGTAGAAAATGAATCTTAAGAAACAGAAAATGAATCTTAAGGAAGTGGCCCATTTTCTTGTCTTGTTTTGCTTGTGTGATTTGGAGATTTTTCACACTTTGAGACTATGGTCTCAGGTGATAGTTTTAACTAATCTTGGGGCTTAAGGGAAGTTTTAACTAATCTTGGGGCTTGAGGGGAGCTTTTAGGATTGTTCACTGGAGAGTCAGAAAAGGCCAGGAGCCCCCTCCCAGGGAACAGGTGACGGACAGTCTAGGGAACAAAGACACACAGTCTCTCTCCAGCCCTTCTGCAGAGCCCTGAGGCTTGTGCTCAGGTTCTACAGCCTCAAGGGCAGCGTCTGGGTGGCTGGTGCTAGTGAACTCCTTTGTCAGAGAAATAAAGCCGCAGCCAGCAGCTCCTGCAGAAGCCCATGAGTGTGTCAGCCCAGTCCCCACAGTTAAGTTGAAGCATCATAAATCCAAATTATGACAGATCTCAATCATTTCCTTTTCTGCAACTTTCTTTTCTTGGCCACAGTTCGCCAGTGATTCCAGATGAATTCTAGGTGCTGTGCGAGCTGTCACCCCATCCATGCACATAGCTCCTCGCATTCCCCAGCATGCACCTCCATGTAGCCCTCTGGTTTCTAACGCAGTGCTTTCTCCTTTGCCTGTGCGTCCCAAGCCATGGCTCTGTGCTTGTTCATCCCACATTGACTCCCCAATCCTCCTGAGAATGGCAGGATTGTCATCGAAGACATGGAGACATCAAGAAGTCGAATAACTCACCGCAGATGCAAAAGCCGGAGCTGGAACCCCGCTCCCCTACCTCCAGGACCACAGTGCTCACTGAGCCTCTTGCCTCTGCAGGACTCCCTCTCTCCAGTTTTGGTTATGGCTTTATTTTGTTTAGTTGTTCATTTTTAAGTAAAACTTCATCTCATTATGATAGTTTTACAACACTTAAATTTTTGTGTTTGATACGTTTTCAAAATCATTTCAGTATTTTGATCCCCAGTTTTTGTTATGATCAGCGCACATCTTCTCTTTATCTAACCTTTTTTATTTTGTCCATGGCCATCCTACATTGCAGGCTTCTCAACCAGATGAGTTGACCATTGAGGAGCATGAGGTGTTAGAAGTGATTGAAGATGGAGATATGGAAGACTGGGTAAAGGTATATTCCTTTGCTCATATCACCCCTTCTTGTGACATTTTTAGGAGTGTGTTTCGGTTCTTGCTATGCTCTGTCCAGATTTTGTGTGCAAACCTGTTTTGTCACATGTCTCTTACTCAGGCTCGAAACAAAGTTGGTCAAGTGGGGTATGTGCCAGAAAAGTACCTCCAGTTTCCCACCTCCAACAGCCTCCTGAGCATGCTGCAGTCCCTGGCTGCCCTGGACAGTCGGTCACACACCTCCAGCAATTCCACGGAGGCCGAGCTCGTTTCAGGCAGCCTCAACGGAGACGCCAGTGGTAAAGACTGAAATAAGGCACTCTTTCTCTGTCTCGTTTGGCCTAAACTGTATTTCCCCGGAGTCAACCGTCAGCACAACTCCGTTCCTATTTTATAACATGTTTTCCTTCATTTGGCCACTTTTATTCTTTATTGTCGCACCCTAAAGTTGATCTTCAGTGGGTAAAAATTACAGCTTTACTCCTACTCTGCACAGTGCTCTCTCAGTCTTCACGTGCACATAGGCAAGGTCGCAAGTAACCTGGCTGCCATCATTCTCACTGCATTTTTCTCTCTCTTGCCACCTAGTCTGTTTCGTGAAAGCACTTTATGACTATGAGGGCCAGACAGACGACGAATTATCTTTTCCTGAGGGAGCAATTATCCGAATCTTGAACAAAGAAAACCAAGATGACGATGGCTTCTGGGAAGGAGAATTCAACGGGCGGATTGGAGTTTTCCCATCGGTGCTAGTGGAAGAACTTTCAGCCTCAGAAAATGGTGACGCTCCAGGGATGAGAGAGATTCAGGTACGTGAGAAGAGAGAAAGCTGAGTTAAGGTATTTAAAGGAAATGACTCCCAAGGGGTCTGTGGACCCACGCAGAAGTGGGCTCACCATTCCAGTCCTCAGTTGTCAGGTTTCTGCAAAACCAAGTTTGGGAAAGTAGGATGTATTGGTCAGGTTCTTCTGTAAAGGCTGTGTCATACCTCTCTCCCACATTCTATTCTCTGAATCCATTAACCAAAATGCTAAATTGTATGTGACACACAAAAGAACGGCTTTGAGGAAAAATGGAAACAAACCAGAGAGGGAATGTATTCTCTCTGTGGTTAGTTTATGTAATAAAAATATTAGCTTGCTTTTTCTCTCCCTCACTGTCAGAGCCTCCTGCCAGCCCAGGTTGTGTCAGACCATTTCAGAGAATTAATGAGCCTGCCAAAGCCCCATTATACTCATGTGGACCTAAGCTTAGCTCATTATAGCAAAACTTGCCTTTACAGGAAACTCTTAATTTGGATCTATTATGGCAGCTCGGCAGGTCCAGGACCGTAAGGAACATGTCTTGTTTATGTGATTTCACTAGAGGCCTGATGCATGAAAATTCATGCACTGGAGGGGGGTTCCTCAGCCCGGCCTGCCCCCTCTCACAGTCTGGGAACCCTCAGGGGCAGGAGGCAACCCGGTGATCAGGGGAGGTGACACCTCCATCACACCTCTGCTGCTGCCACTGCAGGCAGCACAAGCCTCGGCTGGCCCTGGTTACCTGAGCCTTGGGAGACCCTGGGCGGCTGTGCAGCCACCATCCAAGGCTTGCCTGCACCATGGGCCAGCCCTGGGCAGCTTGGGGGCTGAGGGGGCTGGGGGACTCCGGAGACAGGCATGCAGAGCGGCTGGACCTGCCTGGGGGTGGGCCCAGCCATGCCGTGCACCTATCACCCCGGTGGGGCTGATGGGATTGGCATCACCATCTTGTGGCTGTGGGCACCATCATCTTTGAGGGTGTGGCAGTGAATTAGCATATTCCCTCCTTATTGGCTGTGGGCACTGCCATCTTTGTGAGGGTGTGATGATCAATTAATATATTCCTCTTTATCAGATAGGATGACCACTTAGCCTGACATCTACGAAACCTGGGGCAGTCAGAAACTCTGCCAGTTATTTTATTTTTTACACATATGAAAAAATATAACTTGTCCCCTTTTTTGTTCTTCATTGAATTTACTGACTCGACTAATTTGGTATGTTTTTAATGAAACTCTAGAGAATGATTTGACTTGATAACTGTTTAAGATGAATTAATCAATGGTATACTGAGATCTATGAGAGGAAAAAGATTTAAGCAACACAAAATTGGGGTGTTTAATCCAGGTTCATGTGCTTCTAATGAATCTGACCCCCCCCAAAAAATAAAATAAAATAAAAGTCATAACTCAGCTCCAGAGAAAAGTAATTTGTCTGAAGTAGTCAGTCAGAGAAGCTCGTCTGTCCGTCCTGAGGAAGCACTTGTAACCTCCCTTCCCTTCATGGCAGATCTCTCCATCCCTCAAGCCGCCTGGCTCCCTGCCACCTCTGCCGCTGTATGACCAGCCTCCCAGCAGCCCCTACCCCAGCCCGGACAAGAGGAGCTCCCAGTACTTCCCCCGCTCCCCTTCAGCAAATGGTAAGGGTTCTCCTGGACACGGGTTGAAATGGGTTTTTATTCAGAAATTCACTTGTTCACCTGAAGGGCAAACAGATCTGTATTAGCATTCTCATCACTCAAAACCACAAATAGCCCTAGCTGGATTGGCTCAATGGATGGAGAGTCGGCCTTCAGACTGAAGAGTCCCAGGTTCGATTCTAGTCAAGGACACATACCCAGTTTTGGGGCTGGATCCCCAGTAGGGGGCATGCAGGAGGCAGCCAATCAATGATACTCTCTCATTATTGATGTTTCTATCTCACTTTCCCTCTCCCTTCCTCTCTGAAATCAATAAGGAAAAATAAAATGAGCTTCTTTGGTTCCTTCCCTTAGAAAATAGTGTCCATGCTGAATCGCCGGGCTTCTCACAGGCACCAAGGCAAACTCCTGAGACCTCATATGGCAAGCTACGACCTGTAAGTCTCCTTTCTGGGAGGGCTATAGAGTGCATAGTTCTGCCAAATTGAACATTAGAAATTAGTGTTTCCCCATGGTCCCTGTTTTGTTACTAATTCTCCCATATGAAGGTAAGAAGGGTTGGGAAGGGAAAAAGGTCTTGAAAGGGAAGAGTGTAAAAATCAATACATTGCCCGGCTGGTGTGGCTCAGTGGTTGAGTGTTGACCTGTGAACCAGGAGGTTGCAGTTCGATTCCCAATCAGGGCACATGCCTGGGTTGCAGACTTTATCCCCAGTGTTGGGGTGCAGGAGGCAAACGATCAATGATTCTCTCCCACCATTGATGTTTCTATCTCTCCCTCTCCCTTTCTCTCTGAAATCAAAAAATATATTTATATATTTTTTAAATTAACACATCTTAAGAAGGTCCAGTCTACATTGGCTTTTTTCTGAGCCATGAGATTCAGGATGATAGCTGTGAAAGTGTATTTAAATTGTAACAAAGTCTATGAGCATCAACAGGTCTAATTGTGAAACAGAAGCACTTTTTTTCCAGCACGCATTTATTGAGTACCTATCCTCTAGGCCATATTATTTGCAACTTTGAGGGGCACTGAGATGAAATAAGATATACTTCATGCCCTTTGAGGTGTGAGGGCTTCTGTGTTCAGAAGAATCTACTCTTAAATAACCACCTCTCTTTGCTCCTCACGCTCGGCCTGCCATCACCACCCCCACCTCACTGTGAAGCAGCTCTTCACAGGCCTTGACTTCCACACGCTGGCCCGCTGCATACTCTGCAGCGTTATTTTCCTGGACCCCCTTGTCAGCCTCTGGCGGTATTTCCTTGAACCACTCGCTTTCTTTGGTTTTGCTGAGTGTCTTGTAAAGGACTTGGTTCTTGATCCTAAATGTGCTAGGCCAGTGGTCAGCAAACTCATTAGTCAACAGAGCCAAATATCAACAGGTCAACGATTGAAATTTCTTTTGAGAGCCACATTTTTTAAACTTAAACTTCTTCTAATGCCTCTTCTTCAAAATAGACTCACCCAGGCCTTGGTATTTTGTGGAAGAGCCACCCTCAAGGGGCAAAGAGGCGAGCCGCAGTTTGCCGACCACATTGCTAGGCAGCCAATTGTAAGGTTGTAAGCAGGACAGTGATATGACTGGCTTTACATTTTTAAAACACTCCTGTGGCAGCTAAGTAGGGGATGAGGAAAGTGGCAGAATGGACATGGGGAGCCATTAGGAGGCTGGAGGGGCGGCAGACATAGACTGGAGAGAAGTGGGCTGATGTGTTGCACCACCCTCTCCTGCTTCGCTTTCTGCCTCTCTGGCCTTCCTTGTCATTTATCTCTGCTGGTGCTTCTTGGGATTTGGTTCATCCTCTTGAAGCCATTAAACTCACTCTCCTTGGGTAATGTCATCTACAGCTTTGACAACTGTTCATTTACTGACAACTCCCCGATTTATAACTGCCAATCCGATCTCTTTCCTGAGCTTCAGTCTTGTTGACATCTCAGGGTGTCTGTACCAAAAGTGCTCTGGTCTCCCCCAGATAGTCACCACCAAATCGTGCCAGTTGACCTCGGAGACAGCTGTCAGTCTTTCCGCTTCTCTGCCCCCCACTGCTGGGCACCTGAGGCTAACAGCAACTCTCCTTCAGATGACCACATTATACCTTTGCCCTTCTCCACTCTTTTCTCCAAACTGTTACCAAACTCATCTTTCCATGCTCTGATTATACTGGTGAAAGTCCACCAAGGACTCCTCTTTGTCTACAGAGTAAAGCTCAGATTTCATGACTTAACCTCAGCTACTTCTCCAGTGTTCTCTCTTGCAACTCTCCTGGCAAGACATGCTCCAAGGTTTTCAGTTCTCCAGGCGCTGCTCTTACTTCCAGCTCCGGCCTGTGCTGTGGGCGAGCCTTTTTGGGCCTCAGTCACTCTTGTGCCCATGAGGCTCTCAGCTGGACTAGACCCTGATTCGCGGATTTCACATGTAATCCAGAATAACTCCTCCTCAGTGGGAAAGAGTGAAAATTAGGTTGAAAGAATGTGTTCAGAACATTTCTAAGACCCCCCCCGGGGGGCCCATGTCCTTGGATAAATGACTGGTTGGGGTTTGGATGCTTCCTTCAGGCACTGAATCCAGAAGCTGATGGACAATTTGTGTAATTGTTTCCTGCTCAGGTCCGGGCAGCTCCCCCTCCGCCTACACAGAACCACCGAAGGCCAGCAGAGAAGATGGAGGATGTGGAAATCACACTGGTGTGATGATGGGTTTGCCCGGCTGTTACTGCTACAATCAAGGTCAGGCGTGGAGTTTGGCCAGTCTTGTTTTTTAGGCACCTTTGCATGATGATGATGACTCTTGAACAGAGCAAAAACCAGGAGGATTCTATGTGACTGGGTGGCCTGGTGGACTCCTCCCACATGTTGAATATTTTGTGCCTTTTTTTGTTGTTGTTGTCATTTTCTATGTCATCTCTCCTTCCATAGCACAAATCCTAACGAGCCCTCCAAACAGAGAGGGACAGCCCTCGTGCCTAACAGTGTCCATTTTTATATGAGACTCAAGACCAGGCCTCGTGCAGGCACAGTCACAGAGATGCTGATCGTGTGCACTCGTACAGTATATTACTGTGGCCACAGGACGTGGCAAAGATTCTCATCTTCAAGTGGCTTTTGCTCGTCTGGCTAAAGTTTAATCAGGTCATGTTGGCTGCATAAGGAAGCAGGAGGGATTCCAGGGAGGCTGGCTCCTCCCCGCAGGTGGTCCCCAGACTGAGAAACAAGTGGACTGCCCTGAGTCTAGCGCCAATTGCATTAATGCACATCTCTACCACAACTAATGGATTTACACAATAACAGTGTCTTTTGTATTAATATTTATGCCATTCATTTAGTATTAGTGGAGCTAATATGGAGGGGCTGAACTAGCAGCCAGATCTTGTCCATCGCATCGGGTAGTAGAAAGGAGGCCGCGGCCACGGCAGAGATGGAGCTTCCAGAGCTGAAATGAGCCGGTTTAGTGTTCTTTTTGCATTTGGGTATTTTTCATCTTAATTGTTTGCAGCACATACTCTTCTGACCGGTATCCTTAGAATCTGAATGTCTAGATAAATTGGGGACACACACTTGCCTTGTTGAGCTTCTCTACTGGCATCGTTTTATTCCCAAGTCAGTGTACCAGCCCAGCCAGCCAGCCAGGATGTGACTGGCCCAGCCCCGCGGTCACCCTTGATGGAAATGCCGCCTCCCAGGTCCCACTGACATTTCTTCAGGAGGAAGAACCTGTGGCTCATGGAGGAAACCAGCTTTCTGTGAAAAAGGACTAAAGGACTGCACACCGGCACAAGTGCAAGTTGACAAGGAAAAGACAAGTTCCCCGAATCACGAGGAGAGAGCCACGGGGAATTCCTCCCCGGGCCAGCAAGCCCACGGAGCAGGTGTCCCAGAGCCCTCTGCCGGCTCTCCACTTCCTATGGAAGGTAGGGTGTGTTACCTAGGGATGAAGGGATATTTGCCAGTTGCTTTTTTTTTTTTTTTTAAGAAATCAAATTTGCAAAATTTAATCTACAAGTTGTATTATGCTTTGAAAACTCCTAAGACTCTAGAAACTTGAAATGCTCGCCAAATGTCCCCATGGGAATTTTTAAGGTCATAGCTGAAGGAATTTTCAGTCTGCCATTTGATCATTTCAGTGACAATACCAACTGTTGAATTTTCTCCATGATTTGGGGTTTGTTTCTTTTGTGGGTTTTTTTGTTGTTGTTTTTGCATTTCTTAATCTGTTGATCTATTTGAGGTCTTTTTGTGTTATCAAACTTATTCTTAAGTTTAAAAAATAAATTAAAAGGGTGGGTTTTTTAAGATTTTTGCCTACATGTTGAATATCTTCAAAGCACTTTAAAAATCTTCAAAGTGCTTAAATAAGGCAGTTCTTGCCACCCAGTCTTATATTCTCTCTCTAGTTAGCCAAATTGTCCTTGAATCCGGGTTTTCCACATTCTCAGAGGGTTATTTGAAATTTTGTTATATTTTAAATATTTTCTGGAAGAGCTGCTAATTTTATTTTAAAAAATCAAAGTTGTAAAAATAAGCCTCCTTTTTAAGAAGAACTGCTCCCTCCAGGACATGTAACCCCGCGTCTCCGAGCACAGGGCCCGGCTTACAGGGGGTGCCTCTGTGCGATGTGCTTTCTTTACGCAAAGTGGCTGTCAAAAGTTTGTATTTATTATGTATAAAATGTTGAATAATAAAAAAAAATGGAAGTCAGTTTTCTAAGTTTACTTATAAAGACACACTCCTAGGCCCTTCTTTAACCATGTGACACAGAGAGTTATCTGTTAACCCATCCGTGGAACAAACAGTTCCTAATGCCACCCGCCTGCGAGGTCTAACGTTCTGGATACTGGAGACGTAACGAGTTGTGATCTTGCTTTCAAGGTCCTTTTCAGGGCACATACGTGACGGTGCTGTGTGACGTGCTGGGAGGGAGGGGAGGACCGTGTGCTAAGGGAGCTGAGCATGGAGCTGACTCTGCAGCTGCAGGGACAAGAAAACCTGCAGTCCCCTCAGAGGATGTAACTGCTGGCTTCTAGGAAATGGGAACTCTGAACTCCTCTGCTCTTTCCTCAACCTCCACCCTAAGGAGTAATGAATCAAGCAGAGATCGCACTGGCCCCGGGGTGGATGGTTCCCAGTTACAGGCTTGAGTCCCTCTGGCTCTCAGCCGGCCACATTGAGGGTCAGGACTCGGCATGTTTGGGAAGAGGCCTATAGCACTTCTCTTTCCAGAGCTGCACACATGTGATACGTATTCTCCCAGATATTTTCCAGCCATAAAACTCATACCTCTAGACACATTGCCTTTTTATATATGTGGGATTATATAATACATTTAGGTATACCTCATTCTTTTTGAAGGCTATATTATAATCCATTATCTGAACATAACTTTTTTAAGAATACTTTATTGATTTTTTTTTTTTTTTTTTTTTTTTAGAGAGAGAAACATGAATGTGAGAGTGCAACATAGGTTGGCTGCCTTCTGCACGCCCCCTACAGGGAATTGAGCAATTGAGCCTGCAACCCAGGCATGTGCCCTTGACCAGGAATTGAATCAGCAACTTCCCGGTGCATGGGACAACGCCAAACCAACTAAGCCACACTGGTCAGGGCTGTCTGGTCATAATTTAAACATTCTTATAGTGATGAGTATTTAGGTTGTATCCATCCATTTGCTATTAGAAAGTTAAAATTAACATCTTTGTATGTAATTCTTTAAAATTTGTTCCAGTAAAAATATTGGGTAAATTTCTAAATATGTAACTTGAGACTCAAAAAGGTATTGTTTTTTTTTTTAATTTTTATAGATGTTTTTGTTGTTACTTCTCACTGGGAGGTATTTTTTTTGTTGATTTTTAGAGAGAGCATTGATTTTAGAGAGAGGGAATAAAAGGAGAGAAACATCAATGTGAGAGAGCCAATCAATTAGTTGCCTCATGCACAAGCCCCCAGCGGTTGACTGGAATCAAACCAATGACCCTTCAGTTCATGGGCTGACACTCTAACCACACTGGCCAGACCTAATTTTTTTAGACTTTGCCAAATAGGCCTCCAAAATGATTGCATCCATTGGCAGATCCAACAACAGCATTGGAGGTGACAGCATGGACTCTGGAGTCAGAAGGTCTGAGTGAAATTCTGGCTCCTCTCTGACCGCTATGGGAACTGAGCCTCAGCATACTCATCAGACATCTGAGAGGAATACTGTGGACCCAAGAAGGATGCATAAAGTGAGCAGCATGGTGGTCACCACAAACATCCTCATTAACCTCTTCCACAGTCAGCGTCCTCTCCTTCAGAGTCCTTGCGCCTCCTCCAGCCTCATGATTACACAAGGTTGCCGGAAGGCGCAAGGGAGGTGTGTGAGAAAGTGCTTTATCGTAAATATGAGAAGGGCTGTGCACATTAATTGCCATTTCCTTCACCTGCTAATGAAAAGCTGCTCACCTTTGAGACTGCTGTTGGCATCAGAGGATCAGTCTGTGACTCGGGAACGGAGTTAAGCTAATTGCCCCATCCTAATGTCATCGCTACATCGTGGCCTCCTTCATCACAGGAGCTAACTGTAATGCAGTCAGGTTGGATTCACAGCACATCACCCGGATCCCTTTCTTCCCTGACCCTCCACCACAGCCCACGTCCACAAGCCGGACACAGACCCCAGTGAGAGGACAGTATCCGGTGGATGACGATTCCCTCCAAGCTGCTGCATCCCCAGCTATAAAAGGCGTGAAAACAGGTGATTTCCAAGGACTTCATCCAACTCTTAATGTTCTAGATAAGTTTTCTTTGTAGACGCAAAGTGAGAATGTCACACAAAAAGGCTGCAGTGTTTGAGAGCAGACTCGCACAGACGCTTCTCCAGATGGCCAGAAATTGGAAATCCAAGCCATGGCACTGTCCCCTGAGACAAAGCAAACCTTCCGTTTCCAGGTTGGGATCGCATCCCAGGCCCCGCTGGCTGCCCGGGAGCCCAGCTGCAGCTTTCCATGGGGCCAGTAACTGCCTGGACCTCTCGGAGTGGCCTTATGACAGAATCTGGCTGCTTGGACTCTTTGCATTTATTTTGCTCATTATGAAGTTGGTTTTCATGGCAAAAATACAACCACATTACAGAAATGTTAGTTAAGGGGGAGAAGGATCATGTACCAAAGTCCTACAACTTGACACAACCAGTATGTTTCTTCCTGTGTTTGCTCTGTTACTGCTTGACCTGCCAAGAACCCTGTGAATGCCAAAGAGCGTCTTGTTCCTGGACCATTTTCCTGGTCCCACTGGCCAAAGAACAGATGTACTACTGGGGAATGTTTTCCTGGAGTCTGATCCTGAAACAGGACAGAAGGGAACCTACATCCCCTCCACACTGTGTGCTCAACTCCTAAGCATCCTTTTCGTTCTTATCACCCACTTCCTCCTGTGAGGGGCAAGGAAGGTGAGACAAACGTCCTGTATCCGAGTCCCTGAGCTGCCCGCTGAGCTGTGAGCTCAGGCTTGCTTTCCTCACCTATAGAGTGAGAAAGAAAAGGTAATGCAAACGCCCTAAGACCCAGGAGGATAAGTAAGATGAAGTACAGATAAGCTGACGATAATCTTGACCAGTGGGTGTGCATCCAGAGGAAGAAAACAGCCTTGCACTGGCGTGGTCAGTCTCAGGTGGGTCTGTGCCTGGCACCACCAGGATTCCTCCAGAAAACATCTGTCCA